AATAATCAGGAGAACAACCCCCGAATGGCTCAGGGCAAACCAGGCCGCGGATATAACTAACAAGAAGAGCGAAAACAGGGTGCAGTGTAGGCCACAACGAAAAGAAATGAAAGAAAAAAGGAGAATACTGCCGGAGGTGCCGCCCCTCCCCTCCGCCTCCGGGGCCCCCCCCCCCCCCCCTGGCTCTCTACCGGAAAAACATCATCAGCCATGCAGCCCCGGTGCGATGGAGTGCAAAATCATCCGAATCGTATAATTCACTCAACGAAGTTAAAAACTGAACGGCCAAGCCCGAGAAGACAGCACGAGAAAAGAAGACAGCAGACGGAAAGGAGCCACAAAACGTCTATACAGGACTAAAGGAGCCACAGGTAACTGAATAATATATATGTGTCTATGTATTTGTATAGATGAGTGCGACTGACAGACCGACACAGCAAAATAGCATCCCGCACGAAAGCCACACCCTGGCGGAGTCAGCGCAACGCTGCAGCTGCACGGCAAGGCGTGGCTGCAGTGCCCTCCTATGCCATTCGAAAAGACCCTCCCCTCTCCTCGCGTGCCATGTAGAGATTAAGGGCAGCTACAAGCGCGCACCTGGACGACTGCTGCATTATCCACTGAGTGGGCATTCGTCAAGATGCAGTGTGAACCCCCAGCGTCCACCGTCACGAAGCCTGTGCTCGTAGAGCTCGTCTGACGCCGGGTAGTCCAGGGCTGGCTGTAGTTTGGCTCGCAATGCGTGCAAAACACCTGCGAAAAAAGAAAAACAAGGCATGGAAAGAGAGAGAGGTCACACACACATCCACAAACATAGTACACATAAAAGGCATTCGCTGGGAAGCGATCCTCGTAAAAGACACAAAGCGAGCCAACTACAGCGCGTTCCTGTTTTTCGATCGTGAGACGGGAGGGAGAAAGACACATGCGAAGGGCCACGCAAGAACGAAGTAGAAAGAGCACGCCCCATAGATGTCGCGAGGACAAACCGTCACGGCTGATGGGTAACAAAGGGCAGACCACATACTATCGATCGGCTGGCCAGAAAAGCCCGCGCATACAGCAGAAGGAGGCTCCAGAGTTCGCTTACCTTCACGACAGACTTTGGTATCTCCGATCGAATAATGGCTTCTCTGCTTTCGGAGTCTGAGCCTCTATGCACTGGGAGGTGGCTCAGCCTCGGGGGCAGATGCGGATGGCCATTAACAGCTGATTCCACAACGTATGGAACGGCCGTTCCCACGCCAGGGCTCTTTGCTCCGCTGGTAGGACGCCTGCCCCGCTTCGCTACAGCCTCTGCGGCTAAGCTCGCCACGTCCCCTGAAGATGCCGTGTCTATCGACTTGCGCTTAGACAGGCGTGTGTCTGAGAAAAAACACACACTCGCACACGTACAGTACGAGGGGCACTAAGGGCACAGTGAGCCTTGGGAACAGGCAAGGCGCTTACCTACAGAGGGACACGCGTCAGGCTTCAGCACGTAAAAGACGTCGTGAAGACGCGTAGCAGCAGTGAGAAGGCAGACACACGCGAAATTCGGCAGAAGAAGAGAGGAAAAGGCAAAGAGAAATCAGAAATTCCAACAAAAAGCCAATATGGCGTCCTGAAACCCTCCTTCTTCAGTCTACTGAGCAGTTTGGTATGCCCATGCGAGCCAATCGCCAGGGCTTGCTAGCATTCCAGCAGCTTGCGGCAAAGGGTGTACTAAGGATAGAAGTAGCTGACCTCTCATTCCCGTTGCAGTGTCACCACCGTCAGTAGCCCCTGAGTTTGGCATTTTTGATCAAGTAGAGCACCGAAAGACGTGTAGGGGTGAAGCATAAGACAGGGGACGCCGCTGCAATGGTGGGCCTTAAAATGAAGCAGATACGGATTCGTGTTCCCCAAATACAGACAAAAGCAAGTCAAATGGACAGGAAGAAGGAGAAGGATAGGCGAGGCGGGTGATACCTTCAATGCCCGCCGCGAGATGACAGAGAGCAGCCACGTGCAATAGAGACGCTTCAAAAGACCAGTTAGCCAAAAATTTTTTTGTTCGAAGTTCGCCGGCACACACCAAAATGCCAAGGAGGCAGCGGAAGGAACAGGCCGTAGGAGAAACACCAGAGGCTTTGCGCAGTCGCTAGTTTTTCCAGGCCAAGAGCAGACGATGCACGTACACAGGAAAATCAGATTGAAACGTCCACCAACAGAAGGGCTTCTTGTAATAGCGTAGTTAATCCAGAGGCAGAGCTCCCAAGCCCCTGTAGGAAGGATGCTCGGAGGGTGGCCGTGGTGCCTCCCTAATTTCGAAATATATTGAAGTTGACTTCAAACAAGCACAAACGCCAATAGGCAGAAACCAGGGATTTTGCAGGAAGTATGGGCTTCGAGGGGCCTCGGCCTGTGGCTCAAGCGCTCCTGAATGCATGCGGGGAGGCGCTATGTCTTAGGATGCGCCTTCATCGGAGGAAGGGTGCATTGCATTTTGATAACGGGGCATTGAAACAACTCTAAGCTATGGTACGCATCTTCTATGGCCCAGTTTGTACGGCATAGTGTGTTGAATCATCGAAGGAGCCTGTGACTGAGGTCACTTACAAGATTTGGATAGCGGGGCATTGGAGTCACTTTAATTATAGGCTATTGCATCTTCTATGGCCCAGTTTGTACAGCATAATGACTAAATCACGAAGGGAGCCTGCGCATGAGATCACTTACACGGTTAAATGCGGGCTCCCAGCAGCGTAAAGCACCACCAAAGAGGGAAGCTGATCTCTGGTGCCACAACTACCCCTGGGAAGCCAATTTCGAGCACTCACTTCCCCCTGTAGCCTATCTTTCCAAGGAAAGAAACAAAAGAGGCCTCTGAGAAAGGGATTTACTATGTAGCCGAGTGCAAATGAGGTTTCTGAGTGGTACCTAGAGGCTGATAAAAGGCAATGCGGCAAGCTTCTGCTACGTAACTGTAATAAGACGCTTGCCGGTGCTGCCGTGTTGTGTGCAGCTTAACGGTCCACCTTGTGCTGCTCTTTCCTTCAGATCCAGCATTCAGAGAGCAGTACGCAGCCCCTATTTACTGTGTCCTCGTAGTCAGCTCTTTTGGGCTTTGCGCTCAATGCATGGAGGAAACGGGGAGTACGTTCTAGAAGCTTCACTAGAGGTACCATGCACCCACTAATCGAAAAATGCATGAGACGATTTATGAGATTTTTAGGACAGCGCCCTTATCTGGGCTTGAAAGGAAGGTCGTGGCATGTGTTGCTTCTCCTCTGGTTCGGGTTCACTGGTAGCACCTCCTGAATGTGGGTCCCACTGTCTTGCCCCAACAAATGCGAAGCAATATTTGCACCATCAAATCAGAGCTCCCTTGTATAGAAAAGAATGATACCGTATGCTTTAAGGGCTTCAGTCCTCCACATACTTGAATATGTATGAGAAGCAGTAAGGACGCGAATTTTTCTTATGGTACATCAAGTAGAACACCTGAAAGCAGCATATGGAGCCGAGATAGTGGGCATTCGCGAAAGTGCACGCTGCTAGATAAGTTGTCTTGTCCGCGCTGAGCCTCTTCTTCGACAAACATTATTGATGGGGGCCGTAGCTCAAACATCACAGAGGGAGGGTCAGATAACTAGCCTCAGGGCTGTTTTTTGCTACTCACGAGCGCAACCAGGAACAACCGATCAATAAGTTTATCTTGTTTATTTGGAAGGCAGCTCAGCGAGTACCTCTTGATATCTCTGAACTATTGTTACAGCACAGTGTAGTTCACATCTCACAAAGGAAAACACACAAAGCATAATGCCGCTAAGATGCACCTTTTCCCGGGGATAATGATACTGATTGCCTGAAAATCACGGCAGAGAACCATAAGATTAGGTGGAATATAAGTACTGATACTTTCGTTCAGCACGCTCATACATAGATGCGTGTGAAGGGCACGTCACAGAGTTCCAATATTAACAGGCGGTAAGAAAATTGGTGACTCAGAGGTAGCAGCCAGAATGCGTCCCATCACCTCTGTTGACTCTCTAGTGGATTGTGGGGTTTTCCCTCATTCTTCGTAATCGGATGGTTTGTCTACCAGCGATGCAACTACCCCTCCTATTGCATCTGTACATAAGAATGGAGGCTACACGCTTGCAAATTTGCTTGGAACCCTCACTCTGCATAGTATTCCAGCATGAAATCAGCTAGCAGATTTGAATTACAAAGACGCAGCCAGCGCATGACATAAGACTGGCCCAGGGGCCACCTAATGCCATGCATATATTGCAAAGCCACCTTGAACCTACACCGGTCAATCCAATGCCTGCGAAGTGCCTCAACACCTATTTGTACGGAAGCGCAGCGGGAGCCCCTCTGCACTCCCTTTCAAATAGGTTTCGAGGCTGTGTAAATCAAAAAGAAACCATGTGACACCATGAATGCTTGTCGTGTGGCGAAACAAATTAAAGGGTACAAGTTGACTGAGCAGGGCGTACGCTCAGAGCTGGAAAACGGCAATGAAAAACGCCCTTGGTAAACCTCTGTTACGGCCCTTCGCTGTGTAGTGCCCTTATTGACCCGCTTCAGGCGCACTACAAAGATCTCCCCAGAGACAGCTTGTCGCTGCAGCTGGACATCAGCTCCTAACGGAGCAAGCAACCCATATTGAACTTCCTTCTTGGCATCCCTCCGGCCAGAATGCCTTGGAAAATGATATCTTCGATTACTGTTTCTAAGCTTTGGGTTTAGGAGGAGCTGGTGGCAGCTTCGCAGGCACTCCTCCTGGCAACTTCGCCTAAGATCCACAGCATCACGCGTGACAAGGATAAGCACAGTGCATTCAAGCTTACACGCACACAAACACTGAGCTGCCCCATAGAGCATAGTAGGTTACTGTGTTTGTAGCTCATCACCTTTGAGGAGGTGCAAGTAGTAGAAGCATTTCCCACTTTAGCAGCTGCTGCTGTTAGACTCAGCTCTAGTTCAAGGAGTGTTACTCACGCCTGGGGCCTTCTTCGGGGGGCCCGGTACGGGCGCACCGCTCTTCGACGGCGGCGAGGGCTTGCCGTCTGGAGGGCTCGGCGGTGCTTTTGCAGCTTTTGGCGGGAGCTTGGGGGCTTCTTCGCTTGAAGCCGGAGGAGCCTTGCCCCCTGGTGGAGGCGCGGGAGGTGCTCCCATGCCGGCAGCTGGTGCGGGTGAGGCCTTACCAGGAGGTGGTGGTGCAGCTGGTTTGCTGGGTGGGGGAGGAGCGGCTTTATCCTTCGATGGTGGCAACGGCGCCTTATCCTTGGGGGGGCCAGGACTTGCTGGGCCCTTCGGCAACGAAGGAGGGCCCGTGGGCTTTGATGGTGGTCCGGCTTTATCAGCAGGTGGCCCTGAGGAAATAGAGGACTTGCCGGTTGGGGGTGAGCCACTTGTAGGTGAAGGCGCTTCAGCCTTGCTTTGGGAGGGGCCGGTAGGTGGAGCAGTAGGAGCCTTCGAGAGCAGATTAGAGTTACCTGCGGAAGGAGCCTTTGGAGGTGCTGCAGCTGGCACAGGATCACAAGGACAAGCTTGCTGTTTTCAATGTGTGCTGCTGGCATGTACGGATGCAGACATGCAGGTATCAATATGGAGGAGTTCAGAGACGCTGTCGCTAACTCATCAGGAGAGATGCAGGTGATGTACGCTGGAGAGGCAGAATTTTACTGTACTTTTGGCTGTAGCTGCTCCCGGGGCTGTCAGGGGCGCACCTGGAGCCTTTTTGCTGGAGTCTCCTGCCCCGCTGCCCTTAGCTTCTGGAGATGCGGAATCTGGAGCTCCCGGTGGTCCTCCTGCACTTGGTGGTTTCGGCGCTTTGCCGGGGGGAGCAGGGGAAGCTGGTGGCTTTGCTGTGACGGAAGGCACAGTCCTACTTGTCGGGGGGCCAGCTGACTTGCCTTTTGAAGCGCCCTCTTTTGCTGGCTCAGGCGGCGCTGAGGGAGCTCCTGTCCCGGAAGCGGGGGGAGCACCAGCCGTTTGCTTAGAGGCCGCAGAGGTCTTGACACCAGGAGGCCCTGCCTTTGCCTCTGGGGGGCCCCCCGCTGTGGCTGCAGGTGCTCCGGCTGCTTTAGCTCCTGGTGGGCCATCTTTCTTACCTGCTGGAGACGGAACAGTTTTGGCTCCAGCCGCGGCGCCTGCTTTCCCCGGGAGGCTTTTGCCTGCTGCTGGAGCTGCTTTGGGACCCCCAGGACCCGGGAGGTCGGAAGGTTGTTTTTGCTCGGCTTCAGGTGCTTTCCTCGGTATACTGCCTGTCTTGGGAGTGAACGGGGTAGTAGGGGGAGGGGAGCTATTAGGTACCGGCGGTTGGGTGGCTGGCACGGTCCCCTGTTTCGGGAACGTTGGTGCCTTGCTTTGTGAACTTGGCTTATCAGGGGTGGTAAGACTAGAGAAGGGCTTACGCTCCTCCGGCATGGCGGTTACATCGGCCGCAGTGAGTACGGGCTCTTCGGGAGAGTACACAACCTCTCTCTGCCGATCCTTGTCTGAGAACATGGTCTCTTTACGAGCAGCCACTGAAACCAGAAAGGTCAACGCAAATCACAATCACATGGCACCTACACCCACATCTAGAGCTGCTTCTAGTCAAGGGCGAAAATCATACCCAGCGCACAAAACTTGAAGAGGAGTAGGCTTAACGTCCTCCTCTCTGAAAATCGCTTCCTGACAGTGATAGCCGTGGACTTATTCGAGACAATCGCCGGAGTGCTACGTGGGCTGGAGCCAAAACTGCTCCGTCACTAGCAGGTAAGATGGTAGGCCCACCAGGAGCTACAGCAGCCGGAGCACCATATGGCTTTCTAAAAGTACCCGCGCTTTCCCCGTACCTTCACGTTGGATATCCGATCGAATTTGAGCGTCCAGCTTGTAGTGCACAGCCTCTGTCAATGTCGGCCTCACGATGCTTGGGTCTTGAGCCTGGATCGCCCTCAGCTTTATCGCTGGAGGAGTCGACTGCCAGCGGTCAGATGCTAAAATTGCGCAAACACAGTTGCAACGGAAAGGATCGCTGGGCTCCATATAAGCCAAAATGCGCATGGAGCATCAAGCTGCTGCCGGTGAGGACGCTCGAGAAAATGCGTGGCGCCATGGCATTGCTTCTAGTGATCAAAGGTAGCAGGATTACAAGCTGCACCTGCTGACACATGTTGGAAAGAATATCTGGGTTTGTCTTACCCCCCAAAAGCAGCCACTCCCTTCTATACGTGTTCACAGCCAGCCATTGCAGGTCTCTCGGACTCCGCTTCCACACAAATCTGTTCAAGAGCCAAGATCTGTCGTTGGTCGCCACGGCAAGCCATCGCAAGTCCAGAGGGCTGACATCCCACCTGTTATAAATCAGCGTAAGGGGCATTAAGCAGAAATACCGGTCAAGTTTGGGAGTTACTATTCATCTTCCTGATCAGTAGGCCCGCCAGATCATACAGAGATCAGTACACGGCTGCTCCGCAGATGATGCAAGCCCAAAAGACAGGCCAGATGTGTAGGCATGCAGATATCCAGGGGCCATATCTCCAATCCGTTGCCAAGAGTGATCGAGGCTCGGATGAGGTGGCGCTCCAGAGCACTGTCCAACGCCTCCATCAAAATTAGCTTTAAAAGTGCGTGCAGAGTTCGCATAAAGCAAAGGAAACGTGATACGCTCATTTCAAGTGGCAGTGCCCATACGGCGGTAGATACAATCACAAATCCCCAGTGCACGCAAGAGAATGGAAGACCCAGTAGGCCACCACATTTCAGCGGCTTGAAGCCAAGCGCAAAAATACCTGTCGCTCATCTCGAGCCAAGAGTCATCGTTCGTGGCTGCCACTAGCCAGCGCAAATCCGCGCTGACTGAGGCACAAATCGTGCTCACACAAACCATCCACAGTGCACAAGTGCCCTTGCGTGTCTATTGCCGCGTCTTTGATGGGCAACTGCATCAACCCGGTACTCTTGAGACCCTAGAGCAGAGATCCTCATTCAAAGGAGGTGCCAAGCAGCACCTCTTCGAGGCAGCCACAGCTAGTGCTCCTACCTCCATCGGAGCCAAACTTTGTACGCGGTTGCTCTCTCTGCGGAAGACGCAGCGAATTTCATCAGCAAACAAACAGGGCTGCTTAGCGTGGCATGTGTGCGAAGCCTTTCTAGGGTAGTCGTAGCAAGCAGAGAGGTGAACGGAGCTTGTCGCTATTGGTCGCTGATGGTAGCTAGAAACACAGCCATCGCCGTGGCATCGGGAGAGTCGCTCACCGGGCCTGTGGAGGCGGCCAGGCCACAGTCCCCCGCCTTCCGCTTGAGCTGCTCCGAAGCTGCGTAAAGACGCTTGTCGTGCTGCGCAGACAACGCAGCATGGCTCCCCAAACCCTAAACCCCTCTGCAGGCACTATTGTTTCCCTGTTTCCCAGCACTACGCTTCCAACCCCTGTACGGCGTTTGGCCCATACACAAGAAGTGAGAGAAAGAAAGAAACAGGGCTCAGCTTCCACCCGATGCACGGCAGTCAGCGCATCACGCGCGGGGTAAGCGCACCACCCGGCAGTCGGACACCATCGCAAGGATCTCTGGAATGCGAGAAATGATGGGTTCGGAGGCGCTGTTTCCGAGAAGACTGAGTATATTGGTGACTAGCGTCACCAGTTCCTTGACGTCCGACAAGTTAGGGGCGTACATCCCAGAGCACCGTGCAGCGTATGCCTGCAGCACCGAGAATGCATAGGTAAAAAGCTTTGCGATGAAAAGTATCAAAAGCAGCCCTCTCGGCGTCTCGCAGATGGGTGAACGCAGTACAGTGAAGGCGGAGGTGGTGGCCAGACGCTTGCCTCCTGCACACACGGGCAGGGGGCAGTTGCTTTACACTGTTATCAGCGACAGGCTTGCGAAATCGGTTGTCGTGCCTCACCCGCACGTTACGCAGCTGTACTTCAGCAGAGTACGCCTTTTGGAAGAGCGCGTCAAAGCTTGCTCCGATTCTGGCATCCACAAAAAGCGCAGAAGAGATACGGAAGGCCGTAAGGAATCAGCTCCGCCAAAGCTTAGAGAACGAGGCCAAAACATGACATCAGGAAACTGAACGCTAATGTATTATCCAATACACTGTGATAAGCCTCGTGCCCGAGGCAGACGCGTATACAGTCGCAGGGGATAGGCCTGGGCGTAGCACCAGACTTTTCTGCTGCTCGTGTTGGTGTGAGGGGTGCAGCTGTTGTTGCAGAGGGTGCTCGCTTTGCTGAATCTTACGCCTTGTTTTCATATTCAAGTCTGTTTCTTTCCGCATTCACCGTTCTGTACAGGAACTCCCAGTCCTGCTTCCCCCCATCATCGGCCTTCAAGAACAGCACGCAGTACACGTAGGGTCTCACAAGCCTGACACGCGTGAAAGGAGTGAAAGTCTCAGAGACTTAGCACAGCTGGATAAATTGAGTCCTGTAGGCCTTTTCCATGCCGCATCCAGCCTGTACGGCGGAACTTACGAAGGCGCCTGGTGAACTCGAACCCCCAGGGTATGGGCGGTTGCAGGCCGCGTAGCCGCGTAAAGCCGGGAGGGTAGAGCTGCAGAGAGGAGCCAAAAAGAGGCAAGCGCCTTAGTTATTCATGGCGCATGGATCCTTGTGACCGAGAAGATCACGAAAGAGGGGATTCTATGAGCGTCCAGACAGGCGAGCCACTCGTGGGAGGCTGCTGCACTGCCCATTACGTCCTTCCCACAGCCATACACATGCACGGCTGGAGGAGAAAGGGGTTCGGGGGGAACGGACTGGAACGAAGTCCATACCGTTGGTGAGTGACTTCAGCAATTTTAGAGCCGTGAGCCCTTCTGTAGAAGGCGCTGCAAAGAGCGTCATCCCGGCGCGCCAGCTGTGAGACAACAGCGACAGCCATCCATTGTATTTAGTCATGCGCTTGCGTCTGTTATTCTAGAGGTGCGGATCTTCCCAGAGCTGCCCTGGGTATCGCTGGATGTTCCTCGTGTCCTCAGGCGCTGCCTGGCTAACGGTCTTACCATTTCCGTTCATTCGAGGATTGAGCAGCCTCCCGGTGACCTTTAGAAGTTAGAGTTATACCAGAACCAGCTGCAGTATGCGGGGAACGGCTTTGTCTGATGTGCAGAGCGTCGATACTGTACGAGTGACGCGCTGCGGCCCAGGGGTCGAGCGGCTCGCCGCCGTGAGATTACGAAAGAGTGAGGAAGGATAACATACAGGAGAACAACGCAGCAGAATATAGAGAAAATCAATGAGTAGAAGGCTAAGAGACATGCAAATCAGTGAGTAAGGCAAAGGAGCGCAAGACGCTCTGCGCCGTCCGTAGCGTGCAGAACCAGTGGGATGGGCAGCTCGATACATTCGGCAAGCGAGGGCGAACGGCATTAGCGAGATCTCTAGCATCATTCTTTTTCCAAATTGTATTTAATCTTCTACAAAAATCAATGTTGTCGCACTTTTGACGCTGAACACCCTCAGGAAGGGACAAACTGGTGGCTGGTTGATCTGGAAGACTTGTTGACGCTGGTCATGAATTGTCTGGGCCACCACCTAGTGCCTGTGCAGAAGCACTCTGCATGGAAGGGGCTTCTAGAGGTTAATACTACAAGAAGAAGTCGTTAGTACTACCTCTAGCCGCTTTACCCCCCTCCATGCCTATTCTAGCCATCGCCGTTAGATGGGTGCGCTGGAAAGTAAAGCTGTATAGCAGATAGAAAGGGCTTTGCAGACCCAGGGCCCCCTGTTTAAGCAGATTCTACGGCTTCCAATCTCTTGTGCCCTCTTTTATAGCTGAATGTTGCTCGGCAGGGCCAGCTCTCATGGGGGCCTATCTACTGCAATCACCACCTACGCTGAGACTTTCGCCTGTGGAACCGTTGGTTGTGTTGGTCCTCTATGTATCTCTTTATTAATTAAGCAAAGCCAGAGCTCATAGATTTAGTTCGATTCAGCCGCGGCCGCCTCGCACCTCTATGTTAGTCGGGTGTTGCCTCATAGATTGGCACGGCGGAAGCTTGGTATGTGGGTACTCTGACAGGTCTAGAGATGTTTGCAGGAGTTACTCTCTGCAGCGAAGTGCCTTGAGTCCCTCCTTGTTGCTGCTGCGCAGCTACTTGCTGCTGCCTCACCAATCGCCCAAGGTCGCTCGCCTGAGGTGCAACATCCTGTAGCTTTTTTAGGTGTGCCTGATAAGCGGCGTTGCTGGCAGCACCCAGCGCCGCTTCCGCATTGGCCTTTTCACTGATGCGCTTCGACGCCGCAACAACGTAGGCCTCCCGTGCTGCTGCTACTGCCGCATTAGTGTCCAACGGATCAGCCTGAGGTTGCTGCTGGGGCACGGCCCCTGCGGCGGTTGCCTGCACTCGGCACGAATAGCCATACGGCTGGATCTCTTTCTGAGGAGGCAATAGCAGAGTGCTTCCCGGAGTGTACAGGAACCCCATCCCCGAGTCTCGCCCTCCTCGCAGGTCCAACGGAGGTAGGGGCGAGTCTCCGCTGCTTCTGCTGGCCGCGCAGTCCTGGGATTCACGGAGAGCAGCCTTCTCGCTTTTGACGGGGGCTTGAGCCTCATGAGTGTGTGGCGCCGTAGTGGCTCCAGGTGACTGAGGTTTCCTCGGAGCGAAAGTGTCATAGGAAGCGACGGAGTCGGCGGAAGCCTGCCTGTCTTGCACGAGGCGGTAGCAGTCTGCAGCAGTGTATGGCTGCGTCTGGTGCAGCATCTGTTGCTGCAAACGCTGCGTCATAGGCTGCTGCGACAACGGGGGGAGAGAGCTGTTGATGTAATTTGCGCTTGACGAGGAACGGCGAAAGCTCCGACAACCTGGACCGGCGCTGCCTGTGAGGGCTGCCCACGCCTTCTCCGGGTCGAAAAAGGAGTATCCCTCGACGCATCTAGTGTTGAAAGGAGCCGAAGGATATACACTCGAGACAGCAGCAGGCCGTGCGGTGCAGCAGGCGGCACTGAGGCGCTCCGTTGCAGTTGCCGCAACTGCCACCCCCTGCCGCAGCTTGGCATCGGTGCTGTTGGTGCCTGCGGGGGAGGAGGGAGGGGATAAGGCAGCGGGCCATCCAATCGAATAGAATGCGTCGTCGAATGAAGCGTTTCCTCCAGTGTGCACCGTCAACTCCGGCATCTGATCAAGTGCAAACAAGCGACTGCGCCAGAACCGCAGCAGCAAAGGACGTACCCACGCATATATATATATATATATATATATATATAGACGCTGATGCGAGTGCTACAGGTAATTTGGAGCTGATAGACAGTGTGACTACGAGAGAAGGCATGCAAGCGCAGTGCCAGTTTATGGATTTGTAGCACGCTAGAAAACGCGTGCTAGGCTGCAAACCCCCCCGCCCCCCTCCCCTCTCCATTGCCTTTGCTACATCTTCTGTCCTCACTTCCACTTTAGATCTCTGATGCGTGTCTTGACACGGTCGATGAGAGCTTCGTACGACACACGGCGCCCTCCGGAGGCGTTGGCGGGGCCGAAGAGGTTGAGAAGGACAGACACGAGGCACCAGGTGAACACGCCTGGCAAACCAAGAGGCACAGGCATCCAGCATAGAGCAATCATGTGGCACAAGGCGAATACGCACTGAGGAGCTGCGGGAAAAGAAGTCGATTGGCAGGGGGGGGGAGATGGCGGGACAGGCCTCGGATGACAGAAGGGAGCGCAGCGATGGATTGAGATTTCCCAGCGCGACGCATGCAGCTACAAAATTTGGCGTGCCTCTGGTAAAGCAAGCACCTAGCACCGAAGCCGCAAGGGTCTCTAGCGTGGTGTGGGGTCAGACGAAGTGTGCGGCTACGAGGCCCAGGGGCATACGGCGACTAGGCGCGGGGTGTACATACAGGTAGAGGAAGCGTGCATGCATGGGGTTTGTGTCGTCCCCCCACAAGAACACAGGTCTCGCCTTGGCGCTATAAACGCATCCATGCGACTGCAGAAAAGTGCCGCTTTGAAGGCGCAGCTCACGTACCGTGAACAACCGGCTTGCCCCCCTCAGAGGCTGTCATGCTCGGAGCGAAGGCCAAGGGCCCTTCATGAGAAAGGCGGACAGGCAATTCGATGGAGGGTAAAGCAGCTTCCACCGCCACCTGACTCCACGCTGTGCGGATACCAAAGGAACAGACAGAGCGCAGTGCGTCTAGACACTGGCATGGGGGGGTATGCGAGCATGCAGAGAAGTAGGGCTGCCACCGTGCAAGGCAGCCGCGAACCCATACGGGACAAAAGCAGAGCGTGGCATCAATCAACGAAGGCTCTCTCTCACGGAACATGCACGAGAAGATGCCGTAACAAATTTCTTGCTCCGCTAAACAAATACAAAGTCGAGTGCGAGCTGACAGGCGCCAGCGTGAGACACCGCGCAAGAGCTAGGCAAGACGGGCTGGTGAGCAGAAACACGAGGGGCATCAGCAGCAGTCGCCGCTCCGACACCCCTTCCCCCCGCAGTGACACGGCGTTGGCGATATACAGGCAGCAGCCGATGCGGAGGAAGGCCTCGATTTTGAAAAGCAGGCAGCAGCGAACTCTCTGGAAAGCGCAGAGTGAGGATGAAGGCGGCTCACGTGCTGCGGCGAGGAGGTAAGCCTTGCTGAACCCGCTGAGAGGCCTCGAGGAACAGAGGACGGGGCATCTGACTGCGTGGGAAGAGGATATCTCCAAGCACGGCAGGTAGCGCGGCCTTACGCGCTGTGCTTGCATGTCTGCATTTCGAAAGTACACCACCCACTTCAGGCCGCCCCAGCTACACGGCAAAAAACGATGTGGAGGAGCCGCAGAACACGAGGAGCAAGCTGGACACCATCACACACCTCCGGCCCTCACTGAGAGCCGCAGAAGAAGGGCTGGTCAAACATGCTTGTCTCATCTCATGAGCTCATCTCATGAGTAAGCGAACAGTGTCGCAAGAGCACCTGTGAACAGGCACCCGGAGGCGGCCAGGGGAAGGATCTGGCTTACTTGGGTCCATCCAAACCTTAGAGTCGTATCTCGCGCGCTGCATGCGGTTCGTGGCATCTGTCAAAAAGGGCCAGATGCCCTTCTGCTTCACTCCTGCATGCACCATAAGAGACAAGAAAGCTCCAACAGCATCCACGTGCAAGGAGCTTCTCCCTGCTGCTGCCATAGCACCCAACCCACCACTAGAAGCGCGGAGGAGGCACCAGACGGCAGAGAGCCGGCCTTCGAAGCCCCTTCGCAGCGTGGCTTAAAGATGTGGAGGCATCCGGTGTTAAAGGCATGCTCAACAAATGCAACTCTCTCAATGCATGTCAAAACACGCTCAGAAATCAAGGGGCAGCCGAGAGCGAAGGGCCACGAGGAACCCCCCTCGGCAGACGTCCATTCACTGTACTTCACCCTTAACCCCTAAAGAAGACGGCCTTCTGAGAGCCGGAGGGGGCAGAAAAAGGCAGCACAGACTCCCATAATACATATGCAGACGATTGGGTGATGTGCCTATATATGGAGGCAGGATACTTGCGTGAGTTCTCATAGTTCATAGGCAGAAGATAGGGTGAAGTGCGGATGGAGGCAGGATGCGATACATGCGTGATCAGAAGCACCTCCCATTCATTCATTCATGCTTATAGCGCGGTATCGCCTTTCAGAAAGGCAGACGCATAGAGAAAGCATGCGTAGACATACACGATCGTGGCCCTACAGCTTTTAAGAATCTGGTGAATAACTAGGTTGGCATATTCCGGGTATTCCAGGCACGGGCCTGAGTCATTTAGCGGCCTAATATGCTCCTGCCAGTCTCCTGTTTTCGCTCAGACTTTCTACATCAAACCAGCGCGAGGAGCCTACCCTTTATGAACGTCCAAACGCTGCCGGTGCCTGCCGGATCCAGAATCGTCTGCCCCCCGCAAGTGTCAAGGATCATGCAGACATGCACTTGCGGTGCCACACTCAGCAGCACCTGCAGCCGCAACAGTCAGGCGCAGTCGCAGCCAAGGTGTGCGAAAAGCATTTCGGGGGGGAAATACGGTAACTTGCGCCTCCGGGGACGTTGCATACGAAAAGCATGCAACAGCAGAATGCAATCGGCATGGGCAGTCCATAGCCAACGAACTCCCGAGAAGCGAGGCAGGGATACCGTAGATTTTAGTGCTCCAAGCCTCAGCCACCCGATATGAGGTCCCGTTGACTCATGAAGAAGACTCTGACAAATGCCTTCTAGGCAAGTGGAGGAGAGAAGGCAGGCAGGCAGGCAGGCAGGCAGGCAGCAGCAGCGGTACACGACCCCTACTTCCTTGACATGGGTGGTAAGCAACAGGTTGGCGTCGTCTTCGCTGCCCAAGGAATCAAAGTCCACTGGCAGTAGGGCCTCGTCATACCCTGAAGAGACAGTCAGTCTCACCCTGTCCAGAAAAAGGCGATCCCGCTGTATAATTAAGGCGCGCGTGGCAGTGGGGGGTGCCCCCAAGGCAGAAGCCTGTGGGATTCTGCTCTCGACGCCTCCCCAAACGGGGAGGGGCCCTATCTGTAAGCATATATGTGTATATAATATACACATATACCCACCTTCGCCTTCGTAAGCAGAGAGGTTATCGACTTGGGTGCTGTGGCCGCTAAAATAAAAGAACAGCCTGCACACTCAGAGACACGCAGACGTACACACAGAGGGAGCGCTGCAACCCGCAGCCAGACCACGCCATTGCCCCTCTCGCGAGTGCCCAACGCATACACGCAATCGACGCGTTCCCATGCTTGCATGCATGCGTTTGAGGATCGTTCGAAACGAGAAAAGCCTCCCTCCAAGCGCTCATTGCAAAAGGCGGCCCCCGCATGTGGCAGCCCTCGTTCTCAGAGCTTTGAAGCATTCCTCAGGCTTGCGATCGTCTCCTGTGCTCCTGCCGTTCAAGGAGCTCACCTGTCTCCCGGCATGGCGTCTCGCACAAGCCAATTCAAGGCTCTGCATGCAGCCCCGCACAGCAAATTCGCCACACGAGGATTTTCGTTCTGCAGCCCGCGAGCAACGCGCGAGCAAGGCAAGGCAGAATAACGACGACCTGGATCAACACAGGCAGGCAGGCGGAAGCAGCGCCTGTCAGCCTCTCGTCGCTGCAGCTCGAAGTCGAACCGGCCACAGCGCCAACAGAAGAAGCGTGCAGCGGCAAGCAGCTCACATCAAGATATTTTGTTTGGTTGGCTGCGTTGGAGGAGAAGGATTGGGCTGGGGGTCCTCCAGCTTTGAGACATCAACTGTGGGGTGCAGTACGAGGCCCTTAGGGTGCGGCGCTGCGCTGCCACTCGCCTCACTGCCATGGCTTTTCGCCTGCTTGGTGTCTGAGGTGTGCTGAGAACCCCTGAGCACTCTGCCGCTGCTGCTGTTGCTGCTGCCCCTGTAAGGGCTGTCCGGCAGCGCGTCGCTCATCAGCAGCACATTGTCGGGCTCCACCCTTAGCAGCTGCACCAATGCATGCGCTAGCAAATGGGCATCGTTCGCGGGGCCCCGAAGGCCGTAGTTCTTGTGCCGAGTGTATGTACACCCCACGACGACTGCCCGAGTCACCCCTCCCAAACGCCCCGCAAACACGCTGGACGGCGTGCAAGCCACTGTCGCTGGTAGAGGCCGCCGGCCGGAAATCACGTGCGACTGTTGCTGCTGTTGCTGCTGCTGTTGCTGCTGCTGCTGCTGCTGCTGCTGCTGCTGCTGCTGCTGCTGCTGTTGGCGGACTGCGGCCGTGGGCAGGTCGCAGCCCGTGACGCAAGTGTCTAATGGCAGCAGCTGAGCTCTGCGATCCGGGGTATGGCATTCCACCCACTGCCGCAGTGGTTGGTGCGACTGAAAGGGGTACGCCTCGTGTGTTCTGTGGAGCAAGTCGCTGCGGGATGTCTGTGCGGCGGGTGCCATGGAAGCTGATGCGGCTCCCGCTGCAGCATACGCGGCAGAGTCAGCACAAACCTCAGCAGAGTGCAGACGCTTCTCCCGTTGAAGGATTCGCTGTTCTTGCTGCTGCAGCGTGGCCATCAACTGCAGGGGTGGCTGCTCTTCTTGCAGAAACATGTGCTGCTGCTGAAGCTGCTGAAGCTGCTGCTGCTGGAGCTGCTGAAGCTGCTGCTCCTGTGCATACATTAGAGGGGCACCGAAAGAATACTGCAGAGGGGCAGTCGTCCATTTCGGCAAATTTTCAGCAGGGTCAGGCCCTGCAGGCTCCATTAACCAGGTTGGCTGCATCTGCTGCTGCTGGGGTAGCCGCTGCGGCAACACTTGAAGCTGTGGTTGCTCTTGTTGAAGCGCGTGTTTTTCGGTGGTATAGTAGTGGTAGTTGGATGGAACGCATGATGGATACACCTCCTGCGGCTCCAGTGCGCATCTTGGCTCGGTCTCTTGCTGCTGCTGCTGTTGCTGCTCCTGCCACGCGTGAGGGTTCTGGCGCATCTCCCAGCGTTGCTCTTCAGTGACAGGCATGCTGGATGCAAGCAGGAAGCGCTGCTCTCCCATGAGGTGCCGCTGCATGGACACTCGGGGGCCGCAGTCGGCAGCAGTGGCCACGTGGTTTCTGTAGCAGCAGCAGCAGCAGCAGCAGGCAGCGCTGAGGCAGCTGACTGCAAGACTCCGACAGACTGCTGAACATATATGAGTGCAACGAGTCAATGCCGCTGCAATGTGCTACAGCAAGTCGTTCTTGTGCAATTGAGGCTGAGGCGGCCGACTGCAGAGCCGCGCAACAGCCGTGTGCTGCTGCTGCTCCTGCCGCTGCAGCAATGACTAGGTTCTCGACTCTCCGGGTAAATCACCAATAAAGTAGCGCGGTTTCAAAATTTAAGGGGTCTGGGCCCGCGGCTGCTGCTGTCATAGGAGGGATCTGTGGCTGCTGTAGCCGCAGCAGCCGCAGCAGCCGCAGCAGCCGCCGCAGCAGCAGGAGCTGCTGCTGACCACCAAGGACCCCCCAAATGGAAGGCTGTCCTTCTTCTAATGCTAAGGAAACTTGTTCTCAAATGTCTGACGTGATCTGTTTGCTTATAAAGCCCTTAGGGTTCAGAGTGCCTGAAGGCCTCAGTACACGCAGAGCAGCAGAGAACGCCACGAAGGCAGTGTGAGCCTGGAATCCCCTTCCAAGAGCAGCCCCATCCTCAGACCCTCTCTCACGCATTCCGGCTGCTGCTGCTGCAGTTCTTGCCCCTTGTTTTCTATGTTTCGAGCTTTAAAATCCGTTTAATAGCCTCCTGCTGCTGCAGCCGTTGCAGGGGGAAACCGCCACACGCGGAAGGTACCTTGTGCCTGCACTGCGGACGGACTGCCTCTGGAGTCTGGGGCGTTGCACTGGCTGTTTGCGGCTAGCAGTTTAGGCTGCAGAAACACTCTCGAGGTGCTCCTGTAAAGATGGCAGATAACCCCGAGAGTTCCTATATGGAGCTCTTGGAGCTGCTCGAACAGCCGCAGCAACCGAAGATCCTCCTGCAGGTACTCTCCCTGCTCCTGCACTGCAGTGGTGATGTGGACTTCATCCAATTTCTCATTCGAGCGTTCTCTGATGAGGAGCAAGGCCGCCAGCAGGAGCAGTCTCAACGCGTAGTACGCCTTCTGCGGCGCCTTCTTCGCCTGATTGGCGGTAGAGAGGGCTCTCTCTCTGCCATGAGCACGGAGATCTTCATCAACCTCACTGCAAATGAAGAACTGGGTGCGTCTATACTGTCCAGTGGAGAGAGAGAGAGTCAACTTTATGTGTTTGCGACTGCTGGTTGTGGAAACGCGGCGAGTAAACAGACCTGCCAGGGGGCGATATAGTGCCCTCCCCTGTGCAGATTTCGGAGAAAACTGGAAGGAGGCATCCCCCCAGGCTGCCTCTGTATGCGCCTTTTTCGTGCAGCCGCCCTCATGTTGCAGGAGTACAAGGACATGACAAACGTCCTTATCGACAACCTGAAGAGGCAGCAGCAGCAGCAACAACGGCAGCTACGCACACAGCCGATCGCGAATTCAAACAGCATCAGTGAGGGCGAAGATGATGTGCCCCTGCACCTCGGCGTCAGCTTGATGCTCCTTTCAAACGTCACTCGACACAAGCTTGCGCTCGATGCCATCTTCTCTCCGCACCTGCCACTTCCAGGTAAGCCTCTCAGGACGGCACGCTACTTGAGCAGGCTGCATGTTACTGCTGCTGCTGCGTACAGCATCTCTAGGCAGTCCAGCCTCCTAAGCCTTCAAGTGCGTTCTCGCTTGCATGCAGCTGTGGCGCGATGCACCAACCCTAACCTTTTGCTGCAGGGACGATTTCGACTTTATGGCTGAGGGGTGTGCGTTGCTTCAGACTACCATTTGCTGCCGTGTCTGCTTCTGCTGCACGATGCTCCTCGTGATCCCAAGTTCGTCATTCTTTAGCCGTGGCTTTCTTCCGCTGAGAACAGCAAGCCTCTCAGGCCTCCTTCCCCTCGTGTGTATATGGACCGCTCGCTGGCAGCCCCTCCCTCCAGTGTAGTGTCTCCTCCCAGCAGGCAAAAGGGTTCTCCAGCCCCCTCTGGACGTGGCGAACTCCTCTTCTAGACCTGAGCCATTCGTTTTCCCTGCTGCAGAGCCACTTTTTGGAAGGAACAGGGGATTTTTCTGCTGCACATTTTGCGGAACGTCACGGCAAACGACCAGGCTGTGGAGTTTCTGCTGACGCGGCGCATGCAGACAGTCAATCGGCTGATGTGCGTCCATTGCAGTGGCACCTCCCTCTGCGGCAGGAGCCTCAAGGCTGCGTGTGAACCCCTGCCACGCTGCCGTTCTTCCTCAATGGCTCACATCTCCTTCTTTTCTCTGGACTGTCCTGACATCCCGGCCTGCACCGCTCCGCGGCGCAGGTTCTCCAAAGCCTGCTAGAATCTGTGACTTCAGCCCCCCTTTATGCAGCTTAGAAGCAGCTTCGCCGTTTTCTTTGTCTGCGCTGTTTGTGACTGTGCACACAGGGACCTCCTGAGGTACTTGCCGCCCCTCTGCCAGGAGACTTTCTTGCTCCTCGCGTTGCGCCTCGCTTGCCGAGAACACCTCCACGCCCTTCTGCTCCCTGCTGACCCTGCGCAGCTGCAGCAGCAAGTCGAAGAGCACTGCAGGCGGCAGCAAGAGCAGCAGCTCCAGCAAAGTGACCAGCCACCTCGCCCAGAAGAAGACTGCCGCCTCCTGCTGGCTCTGTGCACTTTCCTCTACCCCAAGCCAGGAAGCCCCCAAAGAAAAACGGCGCAGGACGAACTCGCTGCTCAAGACGCTGAGGAAGAAAAGCAGAGGCAACAGCAGGCACAGGAGCAGCAGCAGCAGGCCCTGCAGGAAAGCTGCATAACAGAACGGCAGAGGCTTCGCTTTCTTCATCCTGCAGTCGACGTAAGGATCCCTTCGTGTTTTCGGCCGTCGCGCTTCCAGTTGACGTGCTGGCTGCCTCCCTTTACTGCTGCCGAGGGCAATATGCTGTCCATAGAATGCATGCAACACCACCCTTCAACATGCATTTTCCCTTTTGGCTGTGCAGGCGTCGAGCTACGGGCCAGCTGCGGATCCGAGGGCCCGCACCCTCGCAGTAGAGTGCCTCGCGGCTCTTGCCACTTCCCCGCACGCTCGGTAAGCTTCGACGCGTTGAAGCCGCTACCGCGTTTGACCAGCTAGCGGCAGCCGAGGGGTCAGTAGAGAACTAGGAGGCGGCAGCTTGTGGGCACCCACCGAGTTCGCGATCTTTAGAGACACATGCAGCAGCGCACAGCGCGAACCGCGTTCGCACGGCCTCTGCAATCAAAAGCGACAGCCTTCAGCTCTGCAACGGCACCTCCATCTTAAGGAACCAGTTGGAGTCTACAGGGGTTCTGATGTCGTTGGTTACACTCGCAGAGGTTTGGACAACAGCTTTGGATCCATCCTGTTTGTGCTGTGACTGTGACTGTGTGTGTGCATGTGTGCGACTGTGTATATTTATGTATGTGTGTGTATGTGTTATTTCTGCTGGGGTATGTTTGTGCTGTGTATGTATGCATGTGCGTGTATGTATGTGTGTGTGTGTGTCATTTCTGCTTTAGAGAGACGCTGCGGTGGTTTGGAGTGTACGAGGTGCTCCGGGCCGTCTTTTGCATCGAGACAGAACAAGCCATAAGGTACCTGAGGCGTCATGGGGGCTGCTCTGATGGTTCGCTGGTGGTTGTGTCGGGATGTCCAGCAATGCGAGCTTGCGCTCCTTCGGGGTGTCAAGCGTTTGGCGATCTCCAGCTGCATGAAAAATTACAGACGAATCTCAGATGTGCATCATCTGGAAGGCAATATGCTTTATGCCTCACTCTCAGGGACAAAGTGGAGCAGATGGTGCACGTTCTGGTATTCTCAGAAGAGGAGCTGCAGCAACAAGACAGGCAGTTGCAACAAACCAGCTATAAGAGGGCGCTGTGTGCTGGAGATGCCGATGAAGCATCCGGCGCGGACGCTGTTCAAAGCTCCTAATAGGGGCCCTCTCTAAATGCCACAGTTTTGTTTTTGGCCACAGCCAGAAACTAGAGCTTAAACGTCTCTGGATGAAAGCTCTCTACGGTGCCTTGGGGCCTTCCTTTCCCAAAAGGCGGATTCAGAGTTGCGTCGGACGGCGAGTGCGCCGGACCGATCAATGGGAACGGTGCACCCGCAGTCAATTTAGGGGCGTCTCGACAAATAGAGAGTGTCTGCTTCGTGCTTTACTGGTATGCGAATGCATCTATGCAATTTTGGAAAGGTGGCTTGTGCCAACAGTCGGCCGCAGACGGCCACAGTGGCAGGACTCATTCCCATCTGCCTCGGCTTTGGTAGATTTTTCAGCCGTAGAACTTAAGAGACGTTTACCGATGGGTGCAGCACCCACGTCGGATAATGCAGGTTGTTACTCTTGCCTGCCCTTTTCTTAGGCGGCGTCTGCTCCTTAGAAGCATGCTGTACTATCCGGCCGGGCAGGCCACGAGCAGCAACAGTTTTCGGTTGCGTTGCTCAGGTACCAACTAAGCAGGCTACAGTGATCCCGTCGTAATGGAAGCAGCATCATGCGTTGTATCCTGCCGTGGCATCCGCTTACGGCGGCATCCTATATACTGCACTGCGCATGCTGCTGCACATTTCTGTGGTCTAGATACGCGGCGACTGCCCAGCCGCAAAGGCGGTCCCTCGCGCTGTGGCGACACAATCCCCCTTGAGCCTTCTCACGGGTACCTGCTACTCCAGCTACCGCAAGAAGGGAATACAGCGTCGTCAAATACATTGTTACGGGTGTTAGCGTCTGGGTGGAGCAAGGCTATCGCGTAATGCCGCGCGCTTCCGGCTTGCCACCCTGCCATTGCAGTGGACAAATATATGTGCGATTCAACTGAGGCTGCTGAGTCTTCGCTGAGCTACGGGCAGTATCGCAAGGGTGCTGTGCCCACCGTTCACTGGCACTCAACTGCGCCCCTTAGCACACGGTTGGGATAGTGCAGGCGGCCATTATGCAAGGCCCTTTTCCCTCATGGCCTCCAGCATAGCCTCCCCGATCTTAGCTGGATTTTCTACCACCACAACGCCTGCGTCTTGCAGGGCCGCAACCTTCCCAGCAGCAGTACCTTTACCGCCGCTGACAATTGCACCCGCATGACCCATCCTCCTGCCAGGAGGGGCACTTCCTCCCGCAATGAACGAGACCACAGGCTTTCCACAGTTGTGCTCTGCGGCATATCACAAAGGAGCGGGAACGCATGGTGTGGACTGCAGGGTGTGACACGGCGAACGAAGCTACTAGACAACAGGGGAAAAGGGATATACATCGAGCTTCAACTCAACACGGAAAACGCCGCCGAGTCAGCCACTCAGTTTCAAAAGAGTGCAAAAGCGACAGGCGACTTACTTTTCAGCCACTCGGCAGCTTCCTCCTCGGCGGATCCTCCTATTTCACCAATCATTACAATGCCTGCAGACACCCGACACACCTCCCCTCTGTTGCTATGCAGTGCAATGAATAGTATAAGGACTTTGGCGTTCGTCCGATTCCATTACAGTGGCAGTTAAATTCCTTAAATGCAAATAGGATCATGGAATACCCCCATATAGTGTAGTTCGGCACATCCAGCATTAGGAAAGAACGCGCCAACTAGGGTGTTGTGCCTGTCGAGGGGAAGGGAGCCCCAAGCCAGTCTACCCTACTCCAAGTGCCCGACTTGCCTTTTGTTTCAGGATCTGCGACGAATTTCTCCAGGCAGTCGATGAAGTTAGTGCCATTGAAGGGATCTCCGCCGATACCCACACATGTGGACTGGCCCAAGCCAACCTCCGTTGTCTGGTTAACCGCCTCATATGTAAGCGTACCACTCCGGCTAACTATTCCTGGTGCAAAATCACACGACTGACACGCACACGAGCTCACTTAGAAGTGTTGTTTCAGCATGGAATCTAGCGCAGCGGAAGTTTTCGGTCATGGGGGAAAGCAGAACAACAAGTGAAAAAGGTCGCTCGCGGCACGGCGTCAGCTTGCAGCAGAGGCTATACCGATGCATCCCTTTTGATGTATGTAGCCGGGCATAATGCCAATTTTGCATTCGCCTGGTTTGATTATGCCTGGGCAGTTGGGTCCGATGAGGCGCGTGGTGCTCTGCTGGCTAAGCCGTTTCTTGACCATGGCCATGTCGTGCTGGGGAATGCCCTCAGTGATACAAACTGCCAAATCCAAGCCAGCCTCGACGCAATCAAGAATCGCAGAAGCGGCGAATGGGGGGGGCACGAAGATCACAGAAGCATGGCAGCCCGTTGCCTCCTTTGCCTGCAGCGGGGCATTCAAACGGGACGCAAATAATGGGAATTGGAGGGTAAACAACCCCCCGGATGCTTAACAGTACTACGCTCCTCGCTGAGTGATAGTACATATTACGACTAAGGATCAATAGGAATGTCATTTCACGTTGCTTGTGTATCGGGAGCAGCACCTCTTTCACAGACTTGAACACTGGCAACTTGAAGTTTCCATCAGAGCTGCTCCAGGTGGTTCCTCCTTTGGTCGGATTGACACCGCCAACGAGTTGCGTGCCATATAACAGCGCCTGCTCACTGTGGAAGCTGCCCTGCAGAATATGAGAAGGGCAGCGCAGAAAGAAACCCTCCTTCTAGAACGCTTCACTAGCCCTCAAAGTACTGAAATATACCCACAGATCACCGCATCGAACCAAGGCGTTGCATCATGCAAACTCTGTATATATTACTCACCTGGTGGCCGGTTAGACCCTGGCAGATAACCTTGGTATTGCGGTCCACGAAAACCCTTGCTGTAGAGGAAAAACCCTGAAGCCGCAGACGCATGGAGGGGGATTTGGCATCTTTGTGCAGAATACAGGAGAAGCATGCTTAGATGCATAATTAAGGACGAAAATTTCATGGTTATTTGTGGCTCAATGAGCAAGGCGCGCCTGGTTTAGGCCTCAGTCTGAGCCTCTCCCCAGAGCCTGCTGCATGCGTACACGATAGTGGACCCCAACACCTTTAGGAGCGTCAGGAACGGCCAAGTATAGCAATATATATAAGCAGTTAGTGACACACACAGCAGCATTCGCACCCGCAGAGTCCGGAAGGAAGAAAGGAGTCTCTTGGCGGCAAGCGCCATTTTGTTCTGAGAGCAGCTGCGACTAAGCACTCTGGGGGATTGTGTTGCCGCGACAATGCTGCATCTGAAGCATGTGAACTCCAATAGAACAGTACGTAAATGCCAAATCCGGACAGGAGTTGGCAGGGGACAGTCCACGGGGGCCCTTAAAGCCCCATGAGCCCCCATGCTCCCGAGAAACGACGGGCGCCTACGAACGATTCCGTAACCAAGTAGATTGGTGAAACGCACTTTAGATAATGAAAACGCCAAGAATCAGTGATAAGGGCCATGTATATAACCTTCATATTCGTCCATATTCCAATCGTCGTTGGCCATGGTACACCCACATCAAAAGTGCCAGCTGTCTAATGGGGTGCATTTCGGTCCATTCTGCTTGTTCACGGTCATCTTACAACCACGTATCGTCTACAAGTCGCTAATCTGATAGTCGGTGGACATGAGTACTGTGGGGAGCAGCTATTCCACGTTCGTCCAAATTCGGTGCTTTTCTTCAATGAGTAAACTGCTTGATATAGACTGCTGCGAAAAACGCTCTCATAACTCGTTATCTTTCCGATTATTTGAAACTCACAGTTTTTGCATCGATGTTACTATGAGTGGTGGAGGGTTCCTTTTTTTGCAACCCTAGACACACGCCGCAGGCGAGTGCGTAAGCAGGCAGCGCTGACCGGCTCAGAGTTCCAGCTTACGATCTGTTTCACACGGATTCACTTCATGGCTACCCGCCGGGACTTTAGAACTACGCCAAAACAGTCCTTTGATCCAAGGCTCTCGAATGCCCACCTTTGGGCCAGTAACCGAGGGGTTTTGCGTAGTTGCCTTCAAGGTGCTCTGTAGCAGGCCATCGTACAATTGAATTTTGCCCTTTTTTTATATTCAGCTCAGAATTAGTAAGGGATTGACCAGTCGGTTAGTGCGCTCGTATCCTATTAGGTGCAGAGTACCGTAATCGCTCCCTCCCATATCGAACAGTTGGATGTGTGCGAGCGAGATGCTTCGTGCAGTGCAGCTACGCACACCCGAGCTGGGCGTTGGCAGAAAGTGTGTGAGCTCTTTTGGAGAGCATCCAGTAACGCACATCTTAGGGTTAAGTGGCTCCTTGCGGAGACGCTAGACGGAGCGTTTCATGCAATCCCAGGGGAATACGCCCATCCCTCGAGCCCAGAATCAGATTCTCTTCCCCGACCAAATTTCAACTCGTACGGAGCCAGAAACGATCTCTTCTTACACTTAGCCCAATGGACACTCTAGGGCTACCACATGATAAGCTAGAAAGGCATTCCTCGCATACATCTTGGGCGCGACTCTACACTTACTAATGAGTCTTTGTACTTACTCCTGCTTGTAGCGGTCATCCTAAAAGCATTGGTTTTTTGATCTTAATAACAATCAAACCTGTGTGAGTGTCAAAGGAAGCCATGTCCCGAAAGCAAACAGATGGTAAAACTATTCAAAACAGTTCCTCAATATCATAACGTCTTCTAACGGTTGCTTTAAAAATAATTTTTAAAGCTACGGAAAAGCTGAATTTGCAAAATTGCGGTCTTGTCGATCGGCCTTGTTCCCTATTCCATCACCTGAATGCTCTCTTGGGTAGAAGCGAGCTTCTATTTGTGCCCTCACTACCAGAGAATGCAAAGGCTTGCATGACGAACAAATTTTACGCTTTTAGATGAAGATTCATGCCCGGTTCCACTAAGCCAATCTTCCAACTGCCTACACTCGATAGCTTTTTCCGCCTGTGAGTGCTCTGTCCTGAACGCACTTATACACGACCCTGCGTTAGGTTGAAAGCCTACCCATTCTTTATCACCTTAAGAAAATCTTTTCCAGTGATGCTCAAATTGTCTATAAAGCCATATGAAAAGCGTGAGGCACCGGAACATCCCTCAAACGACTCTAAAAGAACACGTGGCAAACGGTCTGGGGTATAGAGATAGCACGGTTTGTTTCCTCGGTGACTGCAGTACTTCCAATGCAGCTCTCATTGCATGTCAGCCTTCGGTTGAGACGTTGATGCTCGTAGAGACCTAATTGAAGACTTTAATGACAGGAACTGTTCACCAAACATGTAGTGAACCAGGAGACTAAATGCATAGTCGCTTGTTCTATGTTACATAGAGTATTCTCTCGTGACATTTCGCATAAAAACAGCGTCGTCTGACGAGATAATTCTGTTGATTTACCTGTAGCATTGCACAGCTGCAATCTTTTTGCGACTACGTCCTAGTTTCATGCGTTATTGACCGATGCAGGGAGACAGTCCCGCTGCGAGAACTAACGAAATGCTGTTTCCTTCGATGAATCCGCCGCAACCTCTGCTGTTGTGTCTGACACACCAAATCCTCCTGGCATTGTTGCTGCTAGCCGTGCGTCTATATTCGTGCCACTGCTAGCTCTGTGACTGATATATGTGCCATCCCACCCTCCACAAGCTTCCTGTGGTTATGCAAGTTGGGCTAACTGTTACTTTTGCTGATACCGTTGTTACTTCTTTCAGTACTGCTATTTGTGCTGCTACGACTCTTTCTTTCTCTAGTTTTGCCGCCCTTGTAGCTGCAGTCGCAATGCTTCGAGTTTTGGTATATGCCCCAGTACAAGTATTGCGTTCCTTCTGTCACGCACCAGGATGAAGATAGAAACGTTCTTCTCCATTTTAATCTCTGAATCCGCGCCATGAGGTGAAGATTCGGCGCAGATAGATGCAAGGCTTTCTCCCCCAAAGACTTTTTGTCTCGGCATGTGTTTTCTGACCTGTTCCTCAGGCTATGCTGTGCAGTCGTTGCCTCCATTGATGCACTCCATCCAATGTGACAGCTGTCTTCTGTGAGAAACTCGCTCTCTCATGTTTGCATACGAAGCCAGTGCCACTGCTGTGGCCGTTCGCGTATTGCTATGGCACCTAAAGCTTACCTGTAATTTGGCTTAAAAGCGCCCAGTTCTGGTGTTTCTTTAGATGGCGAATTTAGCTGCGCACTGCTCGACTTGGTACAGCCTAAAACAGCCTTTAATTTCATACTTTCTCGCTCTTTTATTCATTCTGTACTTTGGGTCCGCCAACCTCATTGCTTCTCTCAGGTTTGGGTCTCAAACCATCTGCCCCTTCTGCAGAATCATATCTGATATCGTAAGGCCATCCACAATCTGAAAACCATCCAGCATCCTTATTGAAAGGTCCTGTTTCCCAGCAGATAGATTATTGCCCCACTCACCCCGCAATAACATGGTGTTAGGCAAAAGGGAAAGAGGGGTAGCCGTTACAGAGCGAGCCGCAGTGGCGCGGTCTGAACGGCCACGTACCACATCAAAATAGCCCACATGTAAACCGAATGTAGACACTTAGTAAAGCTAAGCCATACCTCAAAATGGATACCCGACAAATGCATCCAGATAAAAAGTGAACCACGATGACTGTCAAAGTGTATCACGCCATTTGTGTTGGCATCGAACACATCCGCTACGGTTCATTCTCAACGCCGCACAGCCACTCACGTAAAAATTCCCGCTGGCTTTCCAGCAAGATTCAAGACCTAAATGTGCATTCTCACTTAACGGGCTACCGCCCCCTCTTTGCCCTCGAAACCACAGGACTCACAATGGACGACGGAACGCATCCATGAGCCTAGTTGTTTTCTACAAGCAGATGCCCCATAGTCCAGTAAAGGTGCATATACACACCCATAATTGAAAACGCTAACAAATAATGACCATCTATACCGTGTCCGGAGCACCAAATCGAACCGTCAGCCGGGCACCATACATTCAAGTAGCCACCATTACTAATCTCCCGCTAAGCCGAATGCGCTAAAGCCTATGCCGGAATGAGCTAATATACTCAAACTAGAGTCTTTCTGCATAAGCGGTTGCTGGCGTGGCTCGAAAGGCAGTGGGAGCTCTAAACTTAACCCTGAGGCCTGCTAATCCCTTCGAAGAGCATTCCATAAACTGATGTGAGCACTTTGGTTGCTCCTTTCTGTTGTGAAACTCGTGAAGGGAAACCTTAATACAAAAATGAAATTAGCCACCCTGATGGAGTCCCCTTTGACAAGAAACACCCAAAACGCGAGGCACTCCAAATTGCACGCCACAATGGAACAACAGCTCATCGCAAGTAAGAATCTTTTACCAATTGGACTCATAACTGCCGCTTCGCGGATACAGCCGGATGTAGATGCACACAAAAGGGGAGACTGACGGAACATTCCAAAACGTAGTGGAGATTCCCCATAGAGCAGGTCAATTCATCCAACCGTAGGAAGCCGTATTGCAAAAGCATTGAATGCACAGCTACAAAGCCATTGATAGCGACAGCTATATAGGCAGTGTCAAAAACAGCATTTGAGTCGACGGCAGAGACGATTGCGGCTGGTTGCGCCCAAGGTGCGCTGCGGGGAGTCCCGAAATGCTATCTTGCTGCCCCTATAGGGCGCAACGCGCACTAACCAGCATGGGGCACCTGAAGCTCCGAGAGCAGAGCGTAGTAATGCACATATTGGCTCACTAAGCCAGAGGTGGAAAGCAACCCTTGACCACCTAGCTTGATGCTGCTGCAGCCCAGGTTGGGAAGAGCAGCAGCAGCACGGCCTTCACGAGAGCCACTGCATCATCTGCTGCTCTTACTACTCCACTGAAGATCAGCCTAGCAACAGTGCATCCCTAATTGCACTAAAAGCATTGAGAGACATGCGATGCTTGGCTTCTTCTGCCGGCAACCACGCCCAGTCGCATACTGGGCTGTTGGCGGGGGGACACACCTGGGGCTGCCCGAATACGTGATAAGCTCGATAGAAGAACACCTACGGAGAGAGATACGCACGTGCAACTCAGCAGTACAAGGACAAACGAAATGACTCAAGAGGAACGGAGTTGGGGGAGAGCAGTGACACATCTATGCAAGCGGCTAACGAAGTTTGGGACAGACTAAGGCATGAGACACCCCAGCAACCGCAACCACGATCAGGTACAGCATGCGATCAAAACACAGAAAAGGAAGTAGGTACACACATACACACACGTACACACACATGCACACACAAATAAGTCACATGCGAATGCAGACACAAAGACACATGTACACACATATACACACGCAGGCAGGGAGGCAGAGTGCCATGGACAGGTACAGAGAAAGCAGTCCAGCGGGTAAGAAAGGAGGAGGAGTGGCAGAAAGACGATTAAAATTAACTTGACGCCACACCTGACGGCCTTGCACGGTTTCTCTTGGTTTGTTTCTGATGTGCTGCACTGCAGCCGGGGCAAAGCCGACCATGAAAGGCGCTTCACGCAAGCCCAGCTGTTGCATGCATAGCCGCGCCAGAGTCTGCAGCATAACCGCCAGCAACAGCAGCTTGTGCAATTATACAGTCATGTGAAGCGAGCACTGTTACTGAAATTAGGCGACAGAGAGGCGGTGCGGAGGCACAGCGCAACACAAGCAGAAGTACACAGAAAAGTCGGTGATGAGAGCAACGAACAGAGTCTCAGCAGACCCCTAGAGTGATGGCCTCTGTGAGTGCCATGCCTCTGAGAGCTGACAACTGGCACCTTGTATTTTCGGCACGATGTGCAATCAAGCTTAGTTCCTTGATAAGGTTTCGACTGCAGGTAGGGTATTAGGGACTAGTAGACGTTTGGCATCGCATCGCTCCGGGTTGGGTACAGAAAAATTAATAGCCTCAACAACTGACCTGTCTCATTGTTTGGCCATGTCTTCTGTCTTCTACCGGCAACTGCCAGCCGTTGGCATAGCGCACCAGGAGCAGCAGCACCCTCTCTGGGCTTCGGGAGAGGGACTGCTCCTCTCGCTCTCCTGTTGTTGATGCGGCACTCCCAGAGTCAGCCTGCACACCATATGCACGATCTATGGCAGGTGTTGTTGCCACAAGTAAAAGCCCAATCCCAACGTGACCTTTCCATGGGCCTCTAGGACTGCTGCTAGGGCGCAATACAGTGGCTGCTTACGGCTTGCTCTTGCTGATGCTGCTTCTGCCTCTTTGTTTTGTGCCTTTGCAACGTTAGCCCCTGCTGCTGTAGCAGCATGTCCAGCTCGGACACCTGCGCATCACCTGTTTTCTCCTGCTGTTTCTCCCGCTGCTGTTGCTGCTGCTGCGTTTCTAAGAAATGCCCAGGCAGCTGCATGTACGTTATCTCGTCGCTCAGAACCGTGGTGTTGCCTGTTGAACGCTCCCATTCTTCTTTGTAGAGCCGAAACTGCCGCTCATGTTCAGGTTCCTTGTAGGTCAGAGGAAGTCGCTGCAACATCAGGGAGGCCTGCACTTTGAGCCCGCGATGTACCGACACTTCATATTCAGGGGGAGGGTCATTCAGCAGCAGCGTACCCGCACGCAACACACCGGCCTGGGATGCTGCCTTTGCTGAGGCTGCCACTGCCTTTCCCCCCACAGATGCGGAGAAGTGCTGCCGCTGTGAAGAAAAGGTGGCTGGTGTTGCTGCCCAAGATACGGTTCCAGCAGTTGCCGGCGTGTCTGCCACTGCATCTGGAGTAGCATTACCCGCTATGCGCAGTGCGGTAAAGTAACAACGAATACAGCCAAGGGCACGGGAGGGGTGCAGTTGTGGCGGCACTGTCGCCATCGCCGCTTGCACCGCAGATGCTGCTGCGGATGGAGCCGTTGCCTGGGTATACGATTCTTTGGACTCTGCCAGTACGTTTTCCTGCACAGATCATGAGAGAAAAGCCTTTGCGGTTAGGTATTTTAGAGATTAAAAAACTAGCGCCGCTGTCCGAGGCGGCAAAGTTCGGAGTCCACACGGGCTGCCCCAGAATGGCACACTGCTTAGATGGACTGTGAGAAATTCGGGTCCTAAGTAAACTGCCGCTAAAGTCTCTGCGTTTGCTTTAAGAAGGACACGCCGCAGCAGCCACCCCGACGCCAGGAAGGCTCCCTCAAGCAAGCCCTATTCAGTACAGAGCGGTAGGTTCGCAGTTGCGGCCGTCCCTGCAGTGGCAAGCAGACCTTCCAATAGCCTAGTCTGCTAAGCATTGCTTTTCCTCCATTGCATTGATCTCTTTCTCAAGCATGAAAAATGGCTTCGAAGGATGCGCGCTCCGTTATCGACCCCTCCAAGTTTCTTAACAAGAAGGTCCGAGTTAAGTTCTCGGGAGGTCGAGAGGGTAAGGTGTACTCCAGCGTTTTCCACCACATCTACAGCCCACTTATCGCAGTGTAATGACTGGCCGCCCATGCTCATGAGGGCAGCCCATGGGAGGGGCCTCTCCTGGCACAGTTTACCGTGCTCTCGACACCGAACTTTACGGGTATCTGCCTGGTAGTTCCCCAAGTTGAGCTGTTGCTCTGCTAAAAATCTCGCCGAGTATGAGCGAGAATGGTCGCATGACCAGTCCAAAAGAGAGGTTGCGTCCATTTGTGGTGGTTTTTGCTCGCAGTGGAAGGAACCCTTAAAGGCCACGACGCCGTATGCAATCTGGTGCTGGACGATACAGAGGAATTTCTAAGAGGTGAGACCCTCCTTGTGCACTGACTCCGCTTTCTAAACCCTCAAATCCGTCTCGCCGAGCGGCATCTTCTCTGCAACTGGCGTCTTCTCACCCGAGGGCGGCCACATCGCTATCGTGCCTTTTCCCTTATACCCCCCTTCCCCAGAGTGGAACTAGCGGTTATCCTGGTGCCCTCGCATGTCTTAATTGGGCTTCTGTTCACGCCTGTGAAAGCGGCATGGGTTTTGTGGGAGCGCCTTTACGAAGTGAGTAGGGAGAGATGCCTTTCGCACACTTTTGTGTACACAACATCAGCGGGATAGTGCTGTGCTTGTGGAGCAGACCCCGAGGACTCTAGTCGGCTTTTGGATACCACGCGGTCCTTGGGACTCATTGTGGCACGGGGCAGCGCAATCGTCCTCATCTCTCCGGTGGACGGTGTGCAGCGTATCGAAAATCCTTTCCTTGGCGTTGACGCCCAGTGAGGCGCGGTTCTTCACTTTGCATTGACTTAATTTTCTGCGACATTGATTCCGTAGAATGACTGCGTTCACGCGGTTCCCACACTGGTAGGGACTGGAGGGAAGCGTGGAGCCCTTCGCTCCCCGATAATGCGTTTGCTAGCCCCCAGGCAGATGCAATTCGGCTTTTTAAATGACATTCAGTGTTCCTCCGGGGGCATCTGAGGCTATCATAAGTACAGCCGGAAATGTAAAGCAGGTCCGGCTATCGCTGTAGCTAGAAATACGCCTACTTGATTGGCGCGTAATGCTGGCCGAATCTGCTTAGACCAACTTCCCTCCCTCCTCTGGGGGCAGCCACACTTGCCTTCAGGCCTGCCCAAAGATGTCAGTGGCATAAATTAGGGATAGGTATGTCTCTTGGCTTTCACTCCACATCCGCCGTTGCTGCTAGGGGAGGAAGGGATGACGGACGTATCGCCGGGGGGCGACATCTGGCAGCAGCTCCGTCCTGTGTTCTCTGCAATCAAGAACCCATTTGCTGTTACCCCTGCCTTTGCAAATGCCGCTAAATTTGAAAGGCACTGCAGCTGCTCTGAGGGTTGGTCTCGTCCGTTGCTGCAGGCAGTCCAGCAGCTGCCTAAAGATTAATAACGCGGGTGTGGCCCCAAAGTTGTTACTTCCCACTGCCGAGACAGGCAAGTAGGGTGTCTCTTGGGCAAACAAAAGCAGCCTGATACTGTCGGAGTGAGCAAACGGATACGTGAACACGTGTTTAGCGCCCACCCGCCGTGCTCATGTCGGGCAGTCCCGAACTACGCTTTCTTGAACGTGACCTTTTTAGCCCCCAGTACTGGTGCCCTAGGCTTCATCCCCGCAGGGGGCTTCTTGGGCCCGTCTGCAGCTGCAACTCCAGGGGTCGGTGTAAGCTTAGCAGCTCCCACCGGCTTTGCTGCTGGTGTAGTTCCACCTGCCGTTGCTGGAGCGGTACGCGTTGCTGGCGTTGGCTTACTCTGACCTGTCAGCGGGACGCCTACTCCGAAATTTGCGTTAGGGTCCTCTGGGACGTTCGAGGGCAAAGAGCTCGTACTCTTGATGAACAAGGGAGTTGCGGCGGTCGCCTGGAATGGAGTATCTGGTAGGAGAACACGAGTGACACACCAGACACCTTACGACGAATCTTGTGTGAAGATCTAGGCCAGCAAGCTCACGCACATGTACAGACGGAGGTAGCACACGCTGAAGCGCTGGTACGCAGACTTCGGAAAGAAGGCAGAATCAACTGTTTTACCTGAAGGCACCATTCCTGCAAAGTCAAGACCTTCAAGAGAGCGCCATTCTGGCGGGAACTTCAGAACCTTTTGAGCCTCCGATAAATCGTGCTCTAGCATGTCTATCACCACGTGCTGCTTCTCAACCTGCTGCTCCAACCTGCAGCAGCAATATGCATACAGACTCCCAAGCACCTGAAGTGTTACGCATGGCTCGCACCCAAGGCAGTCCCAGGCATCGTCTTGGGCTTAACAGGAGCAAAGCAACAGGGCCATAGCTTAGCACAGGCCTCATTAGTAGCCAGAATTTCGGGTCGGGCTCAGGGAATGAACAAGCGCACTTTCTACACAGCAGCAATAGGCTAATGACGTCGTCTTGGTCCTCAGCCTCGAGGTTTGAGAAACAGCTGGCGAGTTCGGAAAGACTCTGATACGTCCGCCTGAACAGCGTGAAAGCCAAATGCATGACGCGTCTTTACGCTCTTCCACACAGTAGAACATCTGCGGCCCAAAAGGTGGTTAGCGGCAACTGCTGCTTCTAGGGGCAAGGAAACAGTCTCTGGGCCACTTACTTGCGGGGTGCTGTTAAACCAGTAGTTCCCCAGCGATCCCAGGTACGTTCCTTTGGTCTCAGCATCAACTGGTTCTTCTTGGGGAACACGGGGTAAGCACTAGAGGCCTCCTTTGGCTCGCCGGACCTGAAAAAATAACACGAGCATTGGGGCCATTTAGCATTAGGGGTACTGGAGGTCGCTTTCTATGCAGCACGAGAAACTCGGTCTCGTTGCCTGAACCGGTCCTTCCCTCCAGTTCACCCTTTGGACTTGGCAGCTCTGTCTAGTCACTCTCAGCCGTAACCGCTCGTACAAGTGCATGATGACGGACGGGGCCAGATAGCCTGCATGTGCTCTTTCCCTACTCCTGAATGGCGTATCGGACCGCTGCTGTGCTTCGCTTTTCTCCTGTCTACGAGGAACAGCCCGCCCGTTCTCCATGAGTCCACATAGCGTACCTGGGAATAACTTCGTCAACATAGGGCTTTTTATCTCGGACATAGTACGGCCGGAAGCCCGAGTAGATTTCGTCTCTGGTGCCGGAGTGCTTGCGCACGGCCCGCATAGACGGCGTTTTGGGGGGAATCTGAGACTCCTCCGGAGGCCGAAAGGCCTCGCCATATCCGCCTCTAATGTTGTTAATCTGAGAAACAACCCACGCCTCTACAGGCCCCTCACCTTCACCCCACAATGCCGACGCCCTCAAGGGACAGAAACTAGCTGCAGCTAGTCCAGGAGTGGCTTCGGGAGTCGAGGCAGGCCTTTCAGACTCACGTGCCGCTCGACAGCGGACCACTTGGTCTTCCCGAGTTCTTCATCTCCTCGAGCCATCACATAACCCCTTGTTCGAACTCCTTCTAGCTGAGTCAGCCCCTTGCTGCTGCAGCGCAGTGAAGCACCCATGCAGCGTCGGTAGCTGCTGGTAGATAAGGATCTCATAATAGGCATCCCGCCTCTTGTGCATAACAAAAAGAAGACAAAAAAAGACTGCATCTTGGTCCTCACAGGAGCCACCGCCTGGGGGCCATGGATCAGTGCCCTTGGAGTGGGGGCTACCACAGGCCGTGCATGAGCGAGCAAGAAGCAGAGTACATGCTGGTTGAATGCTCCCTTCCCCGAAAGCTGGCACAAGGGTCGATCGGAGGAACTATCTAGCGACTAAACACGGCTGCATGGCGATTACACTTCTTAGCTGAAGGGACAAGAGTGGGTAATCGATAGGTATACGGAAAGGGCACACGCCTTTGCAAGGTGGAAGACTAAGACGAATCGTTGTCGTTACCAACAGGCAGTAGCCCTGGCTGCTCCAAGCACACAGCATCTCCATCTTACCCCTTGAGGAGTCTCCTGTCCTCCACTGGGTTTTCCGAAAGCACCGGAGCGATTGGTCCGCTGCTGCCAGTTGCATCTGGACTCGAACGGGAGACGCAGAGAGCAGCCCATGCACTTGCCCTCCGGCGAAACGCTTTTGAATGGGCCAAGGAGAAGTCGCAGGCAGCGCTTTACCCCATGTCATATGCGGCGAGGCCCACGAACAGATGCCAAGGGTGGTGCTTACCTTTTTTGACGGCTTTTGGGGGTTCCGGGGTTTCACTTTGTAGAGGATACCCCGGCCAGTAATTTCCCGGGAGAGTCCCCTGTTGTGTGCTAGGACCCTGGGAGCCCTCTTCATACGCATACGGTTGTCCGTACATCATGGGATGCGGTGGTCGGACAGCTTGCGGGGGATATGCAGCATATGGGGAGATCTGAGCGTCTGGGAAGTTCATCCACTGAGGATGAGTCCCCCAACACCTGGCCACGTCCATAGGCATAGGTGTGGGAACTGGCCAAGGAGGAACCGACATAAAATAGCCAGGGATGCCCCCAGGAACGCTCACACCTCCCAAAGCTCCGGCGTCAAGGCCTCTCTCCACTGGGCCCTTCATAGCGTCCCTCATTTCTGGCCTCCGATCGGCCAGGCGCCGGCCTTCAGACACAGTAAGCGTTTTTCTATGCGAGCGCATGCGACTGCAGCACAGCTTGTGGAAGGCTTGCTGCAGGCTGTGCTCGAAAAGAGGGACCTGCTAAAGCCACAGCTCAAGAATGGAAGCATCGACAAGCTTAGCTCTAGACCTACTGCGCCTCCCGGGATCTTCATGATGGAGCGGAGAAGCGGGTCCTGTCGCGTAAGCCACCCAATTTCCCCTAAAAACGAGAAAGAAATCACTCGGAAAAAAATATGCAGCGTAAAAGCGACTTCCAGCATTCCAGCCGGGGGTGGACCCCGTTTCCTGCGATTGAGCTGGGCAAGAATAACAAACCCCATTTCAGACCTACAAGCGCTGCGCCCCTCTCCTGCCTTTAGCCTCGCCATGAAATTGAAATACACGTTCGTGGAGGCCTAAGCCACTACTGTAGAGCACTCGCACAGCAACCACTCCCTATGAGCTCCCTATTTTCAGGGTCGTTGCCTCTGCCACGTACTGCTTGTCGAACACTGGAATGGAGTTTCCTAGGAGATCATGAGCCAGTTCGCTCTTCGGTGCCAAGTCTCCGACTCCACGCAAACGCCCCAACTCGTCGACACTCTCCAGGCTCTAAGGAAAGCAAGGACGCAGCAGCATGCATACATGCGTTGTCCATTCCCGTCCGTCTTTTGCCCTCCCTTTTGACCACCCCCTCGGCTGCGTAAGCCAGCCCGTCGCTGCTTGCCTAAAAACCAGCTCTTCTCACTGTGCCGCGAAGATTGCAGCAAAACGCATATGTATATAGATACATATATGCTGGCCGCTCACCTGCTTAGGTGCTGCCGGCTTGGAGGCCTCAGGGCCTACCCCAGGGGCCTGACCGGCACTGGCAACTGAAGCCTTCTTAACGGGTGGTGCAGGGGACGCTGACTTGTCAGCTCCTGGAGGCGCAGAAGGGGCACCAGCAGGACCCGAAGCCTCCTGTTTCGGAGGACTAGCGGGCTTCCCAGCACCTGCAGCGGGCTTCAGGGAGGCTCCTGGCACCGGCAGTGGGGTGGGGCCAGATGATTCCTTCGCAGCAGCTGCAGGTTTGGGTGCGCCTGGCAACCCCTTCACGGCTATGGGGCTTCCAGCGTCGGGCACAATCTTCGATGTCGGCGCTTTGGATTCTCCAGGGGGCCCCTTGGCCGCTGAGGCAGGCAGTTTGGGGGGTTGGGAGGTAGCCGGCGGCTTAGGCGCGCCGTTTCCCGGAAGAGACGGCTTTTTTGCATCTTCTGGAGACTTGGAAAGCGGAGATTTGGACTCACTTAAAGGCGTTTTCGGCAGTAGGGGAGACTTGGGTGGACTCCCTAGGGGTTTGGTGCCTGCTGGGACCCCAGGGGCCTTGGGCAGTTCTTTCTGCGCAGCTTTCAGAGCCGGTTGTGGAACATCCGGCTTGGAGATTGTAGGCTTGGCAGAAGCCATAGCTGAGGCAGCCACACTGGAAGCGGCAGACTTTACAACAGCACCTGGAAGGGGCTTGAGTGCAGCAGGGGTTAAGGGTTTATTCGGGGTTTTTCACCAGGTGGGGCAGGTTTGGGGGCACCTCCAGGAAGAGGGGCCGCTGGTGGCTTCGTCAGTGCGGCTTTACCAGGAGGAGGACCGTTGCCCTGAAGCACGATCTTGGCCCCTGGAATGCCTCCTCCAGGGGGCCCCCCCGGGGGTGGAGGCCCCTTGCCGACGATAACGACTGCCTTAGAGACAGGTGGTTTAGGCACGGGCAATTTCTTCTCCATTTGGGTGACCCTGAGGAGCTTAGGATCTGCAGGGTGTCACGGGTTCGTGGATACTCTTACGCTAAGTAGAAGGCCGCTAATGCTTTACCAGTTCGCTTCATTCGCCTGCTGTACATACGTTCCGCCTGCTCGTTGAGACCAGACCTGACAGGGGCGCATGAAAACGAGGGCCCCGAAAGGGCTCAATAGGTCAGCTACGCCACTCTAGAGAGGGTAAAAGGCTCCTCGCAGAGAAGCCCCCTGAAGGGCTCGAAGTACCGTACTGTAGGCCACCAAGCGGTCCAGAGAGAAAACCCACCTGCCGGAGTGCGAGTATCGCTGCTGTGCACTGTTTGTTGATGCTTTATGGGCAAATATTAGCTACTCAAGCTCTCGTTGGTGCCGCTATATAAGCCCTATGTGGTGGGAAAAACTGCGGGAGGCATGTGAAACTGGGGGTATCCCGGGGCCGTCCTACACACCACTGCGGTCCGAGGCCAGCAAGTCGGGGAGGGCGACCAAGCATCATAATAAAAAGGGAGAAGGGAGAGAATATAGCCATGTAAGAACTCAAATACCCTCAATAAGGCTACTCAAAGCCTAGACGAGTGGACGGGGGGGGACACACTAAGGACTTCTAGGCTCAAAAGGCAGCCCCATGGGGATGTCAAGACCAGACCGTCGGCCGCGGCTCTCACCCCAATTCTCTTTTTCGTGCTGCTCCTGCTGCTGAAGTACGAAGTGTCTGATTGCGCAGAAAAGACACTATGATTCCATTATTACCAAATAAGTCTGCCGCGGCTGGGCTTTTTTCACGCGCTTGGTGTTGGTGCCCGCGGATGGTGGTATGGCGTTTTACGATGACTTCGGTCCTGCAAAGCAGTGCACGCAGGGCCGAACCGGCTTATGACATCACTCTGCTGCCTGTTGCTGGCGAAGCCGATAAAGAGTGGCACAAAGCAAGATAAATTAGGTGCTTTCTTGAAGTACTGCGCAATGGATTGCGAAGCGACGCAGTAGAAGGGTGCAGAGGCATGTTATACGGGGTTCTTTTCGATTCCAAAGCACGAACCACTTGCGACAGCTTTTTTAAAAGAATCTTGCTAAAATACTGTGTAGATCCTAGTGTAACCGCGGTAAATGCGAGGGAAGCAACTGCCGCTTTTTTTTGCAGATAGGGACACGTTGGCTCTCGAGCACCATGGATCAGAAGCTTGTGAGCAGCCCTGAGACGGTGGAAAAGGCTAGTTCTCCTTCTGTGCTAGTTTTGGCCTTATGTGGGCATCGTTCGATGTGTCTAATCCTTTCACACTGAAAGGGGGACTCCTGGAAGTGCAATCGACGCAGCATATACGCTTGCATGCGAGAAGGCAGCGCGCAGTGTTAACTCTCCGCATCATCCTCTTAAGAGAGTAGCTATACTATTGTCTTATGCAGGCTTATCTTCAGCCGCCTCTAAAATAGCCTGCGCCCTTAGGTCTGATGTGGAGGGTCACTGCTGTCCGTATTTGAGGTGCCTCGTCAGATCTGCATGGTGACAGCAAACCTTCCGAGAGCTTGAGTATTATGCTAGGTAATCTCGTCTGATGTGACGAGTGCTAGAGCACTCGAGGCACAACAACATCTACTCTGCTTCCCTGAAGGGACAGAAAATCACCGGACATAGAAGTGTATAGGCCTTCAAGGAAACATGCGACGGTGAAACGGCAGAATGCAAAACAGATGCACCGAGGAATCTTAGGTCCCCTCAGTGCTCCTTTATCATACCTAGCAAAAAGATCAAAGCATTTTTGTGCGTTGCCTCTCCATCATGTGAGGGGTATCTATAAAAAAGGCAGCTAGAAAGTCGTCTCAACCAAACCTATTCGAACAACTTGCCCCGATAGCGATGTCTACACGCTTCGAAGAAACAGTGCGTCAGTGCTGAGAGCCGGAGGGGCCCTTACTTGGGTATGCCCCTGAGCGTAGCTATTTTACAGAAATACCTGAGTGCAAAGAGGAGGGAGGGTCGACGTCCGACAGAGTCCTCCCTACTCCAGCAGCTACCTCTGTAGGGCAATACCTGTAAAAGGGACGGCAAGTCATCTACTACTTCACGGGCATGCACGACCCACGACCCGTCTAAGAGTATATATATATATATATATATATATATATATATATATATATATATATATATATATATATATATATGCGCATGCATGTGATATTTTAGAGAACGCGAGTTCAGCAAAAATTCAATGGCAAGCCATGTTGTAGGCCCTAGTCTCCTACGTATTGCCTCTTGGCAGACTTGTCGATATCACCCTGGACTACGAGATGAGATTCCCAATGGGAGGTTTTACAACACCCAAGCGACTTGCCAAAGGGCATTCGTGCTAGTGCCTCTCTGAAGCGCCTCAGTGGCAGTGGCAATGACCAACTGGCGACTGACTGCAGTTTTAAAGTCGAGAGGGACAACTGGAAGCTAGATACCTCACTCAGAACAGCTACTCCCGGAACATGCATGCATTCCTGTGCATCCTAATGTAAAGAGGGGAACATGCTGGATGAAGCCAGCCACATACTACGGGGAAATTTCAGATCCCTCACGATTCCGAAGCTTGGCCCCTCTAGGTCTTAGTGGCGCCTCTCTAGGTACTGCTGACTCCACCACAAAATTGTGTGATTAGGAAAACAAAAGAAAGCTACAATGGCACCATGAAAACTTATTTGATATGGAATTCTGTGGTTTCTGCAATTTCGCTGGGGCTACCTTGCTGGGCTTGTGAGAGGTCAGCCGATATCTTCCACCGTGTAGCAAATGTGCATTTACAGTAATTATTTGGTTGTAGAGAGAAGGGACAATACACTCCTTCACGCCGTAGTTTTGGCCATGCTGCGTATACGCCCCGGAACCCCTTCAGGCAGCAAGCACCCCCTCACTCACCTCGCCACACACCGCCCCCCCCTTGAGTGGTGGTGTGCGCACAATTCTGATGAAGGACTCGAAGGTCAGAAGGCGTTAAAGGTCAGCGAAGCACCTTTTCTAGGCAATGAGCTGCAAGCTGGAAGCTGGCGGCAGCCATATCTCCGCGTAGCGCCTCCGCAATGCAGTGAGGAGCGCGTGCGAGCCGCAAGAGCAGAGGAGGGCTTAACTCTCACTGCATAGAGGGGAACGAAGGGGCTCCCAACCCCATAGCAGCTCCCGCCGATGGGGGGACGCCTGCAAGACGCATGCATGCATCCAGCAGCACGGTCCAGCATAGCCGTGAGTCCAGCTTTCCGTCCCCCGCATCCTCCCGATGCCCCCCAGCAGTACACACAACTCGATCCCCCCTCCCCGCAAGGAGGATCAGGCAGCTTACTGAACGGCTGGTGCGAAGACGTGCAACTATTCGTTGGCGGCATGAGGGCGAGACCCCCCATTCCTGGTAGCACTGTCATCGGCTGCACGCTGTAGTCTGGAACATAGTCATTGGGAGCGCTCTGCTGCAGCTGCTGCTGCTGCTGCTGTTGCTTGTCGAGCTGATCGAGGCGCGTGGTAACGTCTCTTACCACCTGCAGCACCAGCAGAGGCACAGGGGAGCCCATGCACACACATAACACCCACCCAGAACGACTACATCTGCACTATTCCCTCCTCCGAAAAAGAACTCGTGTGGCACTAAGGGCATCCCAACGCCAAATAGGCCACTGCAGCGCTCCGTCTGACGCATCCCCTGGACACACGCCTATCTGTCTGCGCAGACGCACATATAATAAACACGGAAAAGAATACGTATCACTCCTGTCGGACTGCACCCCTTTCGAACGCTTACGTGTATGAGGTATGGCATAATGAAATCCATCACTTTGTGCCTCCACGCCAGCTCTAGAGCGACGTCCGGCTTCACAAGGTAGCAACAACTGTGCAGGCAGGCAGCGAACGCCTCGGGATCTTTCAACTCCGCCAAGAAATATCTTATTGACGTAATACCAGCCAGACGCAGAGATATTCATATATACACACACACACGCACAGACACAACAAAGCCGATTTCCAAAGGCAGCATGAGCCTGCCTCCCCTTTTTCGCCCTGCGCTGCAGTGCACCCTCCTTGAAATGCGGCAAGCCACGTATTCGCAGCGATCCCCCTGCAGCGATCCTGGTGGCAAGAAGAGGCAAAACGCGAAGGCATAGCGCACGAGAAGCCCGAACTGGGGGGAGGAGAGGACTATGAGGGAGCGAGCCGCACTTGAGGAGGTCTTCAACGAGCTGAGCACTGCCCGACTCTTTGGCACTGTCGATGCAGTCTTGCAGCTGTGCATCTTTCTTGGAGAGTTCAATCGCTAGGGAGTATTTCTTGTTCCTCTGGTATAAGAGGGCTGCAATCCTGAGACGCAGAAGAACGGCCCCGAAGGCAGCAGCTAAGACGGACAGTGCAACATTCCAGCAACCCCGCAGCTGAGAGTACAGACCCCCAGTTCCCCAAGAAACGAGGAAGACGTCGCATTTTGCGTCTCACGAAACAGTGTGCATGCATGGTGTTTAGAAGCACACACAATGAACAGCACTCCCAGCGCTGCGTAAGCATGCCTGCCAATCTTCCCGTGGATTCATGCACAAACGCGTCTGCGTGCTGCTTGTAAGGGGATCGAGGGGCTGAGTAAGGGGGATGCCAGCGTTCTTCGGCAGTTTCTCTCTCAGTCTGCCTGCCTGCCTCTCGCTCCCCACGCCTTAAGGCCTGTGGATTCTAATAAGCTCGAAGTGCTGTGGCAGCGAACCTGCGCATTCCAAGTTCGCGATGAGACTCGAGCTGCTTCGCAAAACTCAACTGATCGAAGTTGTCGCATTCTGCAATGAGCTCTCGGATGCGCTCCTCGTCCTCGGCGGCAACTAGGAGCTCCAGCATGGCTTCATTTACGGCTGCCACATTGAGCGGCAGCTGCTCTTGCAGATACTTCTCAATAAGCGGCAGATGGCCGGCTTTGCGGAGCTGCTGTACAACGCGCGAGTGATCAACCTTTCTGTCCACTCCCTTCAGCAGCGCACACAGCTGCAACGGATGCTCCTCCAGGTAAAACGCAATCGCGCGATACAGCAACTCCATGTTGGACACCTTTTGAATGACCTGCGAACCGACAGACAAGGCCCCAAAAGATTCGTAGGAAATCCATGCATGCATGCACATGCACCACATGCATATGCATATGCATGCAGATACGGACCGCGCCTGCTGCTGCCCGGAGTCCTAATACACATTTTCTTGGCTACGGAAACGTCACATAGACTTCCAAGCGGCTCCCGCATAGGCGGCATTTTGGATGGAGGACCGCTTGAACTCTAAGAGACGAATTGGCGCAGCTCCTATGCGTCTGAAGCGTGGCGAGCGAGTCGTCTCTCCAGCGGCGAAACACACGCGGGAAAGACATGGGGGGACGGGGGGGAGGGAGAAAGGCACCGGACCTGAATAAACTGCTCATGTTGCCACGCGGTGGGATGAAGGAGCATGCAGTTCGCAGCCTGCTCGTACTCGTCGTAGATGGTGTGCAGATACACGGCTTCTTTCCAGAGGCAGCACTTCTCGCAAGTCCGAATGAGCCGCGGGATGTTCATTCTGCCCTTGTGCTGGCGGCAGTGCTCCATCAGCTTCGCACTGTCAAACGTCGCATACAAGACCCCTAACTCAGTGAACAGGCCGACATGTGTTTGTTCTCCCTGAGCTCCTGTTTCCTGCGAACCAGCGAGCAACATCAGCGCGAAGGGAGACACACGTCGCAATCTTTTCAGGCACGCACAAAAAAGTCGATGGTGGCAGCAGGAAGCCTCATCTCGTCAGAGACTCTGAATCTGCACCTGCCTCTGCTCTGAAAACGCTCAATCAATGCAGCCGCACCAGAAGATCCATGAGCTCTCTGTGGAGGCCCCTCTTCTCGTATTCTTCCACCAAAGCGTCTAGAAGATCAGGGTGAGCAACAAGTTGCAAGCCCGTCGTGTGTGCGCATTTCAAGTCTCCCTCATCGAGCGCTCCACAAGTCACTTCCTTCCACGTCTTTGGATTCTTCGCCTTCCGGGCCGCATCCACAGCCGCCCCAAAGTCTTTCATTTGCACGAAGCAGCTCGCCAATTTGCTGTAATTCGGCAGACTCTGGTAAAGAGTCTTCGCAGCCTGAGAGTACCAGACGGGATAAGAGCACCAACACTGGGCGTGGCATGCACCAGAGGAAAGGCGACGTTGCATTTTAGAGCAGGAAGAGCAGCAGCAGCATCGGCAGCCGGCCAGACGTGACGCAATGCAACGCAACTGAGGAGGCAGACTTTGAGCTTGAACATGAATATATATTTTTAAGAAGCGTCTTGAAGATGCATCTAGAACCCCTCTTTCAAGCGAGTTCTTCTTCAGCCTAAGACTTTCCTCCCTTCCATCCCCGCCCCCCAGCTTCTCCCCTCCGTTAAACGAACAGCAAGGCGGGCAGCCTCGATCTGCTCCGGCTTTCGGCATTTTTTAAAGGCCACTTCACACACACACACATCTCAGTTTCCCTCCCCTCATAAAAAAGCCTACCTGGTAGTGCCCCTGCTCGAAAAGTCTGTCGCCAATAGCCTGAACGTTTGCCGTGTTCGGACCATTGAGAAAAGTCTCCATGTCCTCTAGCCTTTCCGTCATTGCGTAAGCGTACAGGAGCTCTGAGTCAAGAGTTTGATCCTTGAAAGCAATGCTCTTGCGAGCCATCAGGAGGTACTCGGCAAGTGCCTCGAAGGCGCGTTGCTCTGTCGCTTTCTCAACTACTTCTCTGAACACCTCCCCATCGTTAGCCTTAATCAGGGAGTCCACAGCCTCCACTACTCGCCCCTGCTGCAGCTGAGCCCTTCCCAGTTTACGCCATACTTCCGCATTGCCGCAGCGCTGAGCGAACTCCTGAGCTCTCTCGAGTTCTTGTTCCCCGCCAGCGGCAGCTGCTGCCAGCAGCGTGTCTGCAGCCTCGGACAGGAGTCCAAACTTTCTGTAGATCGTGAGCGCCTCCTCCCGCAAGCCGTTCTCGAGAGCTACTTGCGCGATTGCGGCTCCATCAAAATTCTGCAGACGGTTCACGTAGCCCATAACGCGAGAGGGATCCGCCTTTATGGCCGTGAGGATAAGGAGGTTCTGCAAGTTCTGATTCGAGCTGAAATCACTGTTGTGCAGCACAATTTTCTCCAACAACTCCGTGAGCTCCTGCGGCAGCTGCGCGCCAATGAAGGCATTCACTGCCGCAGACACCTCATCAGCGGAAGAGGACTCGGGCAGCGCAGATGACACCACTTGGTCGATAACAGAACGGCGATGTGCATTCTCAGGACGCAACACATACGCCCACAACTCAGCACACTGACGTTCCACGAGATAGCTGCGCGCAAAAGCCCTCATGCAGGACCCCGCTGCTTTCGAGCCGCTCAAGAGCAGCAACAAACAGCAAGCAGCAGCGAGAAACGGCAGCAGAGAGCAGATAGCAGTAAGCAAATAACAGCACACAGCAGTTGAGAGTAGCAGGGAGAAACAGCACCAGAGAGCAGCAAGCAAACAGCAGTTGAAAGACACAGCAAGCAAACAGCAGTTGAAACAAACAGCAAGCAAACAGCAGCACCACACCAGACGAAATTCAACTTTTTTTCGATGAAAAATCACTTTTTTCTTGCCAACACGCATACATATATATAGGGTAAATCCCATCAAAGCCATGGACGCACCGGGCTTGTAGCCTAAAAAGACCATTCTTATTCGTCAGCTCGACAAGCTGCTTATCGCAGGGACCCCATGCCCTCTTGTAGGCGATGAAGGCCAAATGCGGATCTCTTTCCTCGCAGTACTTTCCGACTTCCATAGAATCATAGAAGGCATTCGTCTTGAGAAAAGTCTCCGAGTCGCTGTGCATAGCATGCAGCCACACCCGCAAAAAAATTTGGTCCCGTCAAAACGATTGATATTTGCCGAAAGAGTGTCAGCGTCCTCTTGCGTAACGCCACAGAGAATGCAGACTGCGGCCTTCCACGCACTCCTCAAAGCCTCTTAATGCCTCTCCTCTGCCTCCCCTATACAGCGGCAGCCGCCACAGTCCTGCGCTGGTGTGCGATGCAGCCGCAGCTATCCCCCCTCTATTCGACCCTCTTCCCGCCCTCCCCTGCGTCACAATTTCATCCCCCGAGCTCTAACGATGCGTATAGGGGCACGCCTCACGGCGTGCATGCCGCATCTTGCAATAAAGGCAGACAGCCAGCCAGACAGGCACGGGGAAAAAAATTACCGATTCGTGTCGATGAAGATCTTGGCAAGCGCATTGTGGACAGCCGGGTCCTGGTTGCCCTCCCCCACGCGTTGTTCAAGCCATTGAAGGAGCAGTCTGAGTCTATTCCTCTTTTCAACTTCCTCAACGAGCTGTGCAGCACTGCAGTTCCCACGAACGGCCTGCAGGAGCTGCTTGATAAAATCCTCCGGAGCATCCAAATCGACTAAAGCCCCTACCACCAGAGGCGCATTCGCCGAATTCACGCGGGATACATACACCTCGATGTATCGCAGCAGCGAGTGCTTGTACAAGTACTCCGTCAGCTCCACAACAAAGCCATGCATGTCACACACGTAAATCAGGGGCCTAGGATCACTGAGCTTGGCTTGCTGCACGGACACACACAAACACACATAGACACACAGACAACGGAAGAAGGAAATGACGCAAAAAGGCATCTTCACACCCCAGACTAGCTCGCCAGTCCAGCAGATCCCCCGACACACAAGTAAAATGGACCAAAGAGCACACAGCCAAACTACCATACGCAGATCTTGCTCTATCCCTTTCGCTTCCTCTATTTCCATTTCTCTTTTTTCTCTCTTTCTCTCTACTTCCCCCTTTCGTTCTCTATTTCTCCCTCTCTACTTCTTTATTTCCCTCTCATCTCACTCCTCCCCCCCTCCCCCTCGCGTCCCCACAGTCCTTCGCCATATATATATACATATATACATATATATATCCATAAAATAGCAGAGAAGCCTTTTCTGGCATCAGAAAGCCTCTGACCTTGAGGAATTCTTTGACACGCTGAGGCTCGTAGTACTTGCTCTCCCTGCACACGCGCTCGACTTCCTGCGTGTGATTGAGTTTGGCGGCTGCCTCGATGTACTTGAAGTGCACTTCGGGGTCTGTGGAGAAGGCAAGGATGGATCCAAGGAAATAAAAGATGCCTTCATAGCTGCTGAAGCGTTCGAACATGGTGACAAGGCGTTCGACGCCAAGCTGCTCGTGGAATTTGATGGCAACGCCTACAACGGCCTGTAGGTTCTGCGAGGAGGATCGGAGCATGTCTGTCAGTATCTCCACGCACACGTCGGGTGCCATTCGTCCGAAGAATTGAATGATCCATTCTTGCGAGATTTTGCCCCCTGTTTGCAGAAGCACGCGCTTCACGTCGGCTAGATCCGTGTAGTTCTCGAGAGCCCGTTGGTGTAATCCTGCAGCTTCGCAGAGGGCACCCACTCTCTGTCGGTCGTAGTGAGTCAGCATGTCCATCTGGAAGATTGCCTCGGCGACTTGCGGGGAGTGCTTGAGGTTGAACTCGAAGAGACGTGTCTGCAGGGCACCCTGCTCGGGTTTGTTGCCTTTGAGATATTCCAGCAGCAAGGAGGAGAGCTCCTGAAAGCGCTGTTGCTGCAGTAAGACATCAACGATTTGGTTAGGATCCATGAGTGGGGGATCCGCTGCCAGCAGCTTTTGTGCGAAAGAAACTGCGCCCTCCGGATTGGTGGCTAGCAGAGCACGGAGCATGGAGGCGTAGTCAGCCTGCATGCGCGTCTGAGCGGCATATTCGAGCAGCTCGTCCGTCTTCCCTTGCTCCGTCAGCATCATCATCACCTTCTGTCCGGCTTTTGCCTTCTTGTACACCTGAGTTGCGAGGGCAGCATCGAGAGGTCGCAGCACATCCCCCAGCTCCTCCGTGCATTCCAACTTGTCTTCCTTTAGCCACGTCGTGACAAAGTCCTTTCTCCCCTGAGACACTACAGGGCGCACGAGCTCGAGACTCTCCACCGCATTCAGCGAGCCATACTCCAGAAGCGTGGAGAAGTACAGCAGAATCGCTGAAGTCTGCCCCGGCTGCGCTGGTACAGACTTGAACTGCTGGAGCACCTGCGGCGTCCGCAGCCTCCCCGACTTGAGCGTCGCGCAGATGCGTGCCGCTCCTCTGTAGTTGCCGCTCGCGAAGTGTTGGTTAAAGGCCTGCACAAATCGAGACATGCAGCGCACAACGTTGGAGCAGGAGTCGCAGCACGGAAAGAAAAGACGTGTGACTGCGCACGGAGAGCTGCACGAGGAGGCACAGAAAACGCCACCACAGCATGCAACGGGGAAGCCGACAGCTGAGCAGCTGTGGGAGTGCAACTGTGAAGGAGGTAGAGAGACAAAGAAAGACAGACAAAGAAAGACTGACAAAGAAAGACAGACAGAGAAAGACAGACAGAGAAAGACAGACAGAGAAAGACAGACAGAGAAAGACAGACAGAGAAAGACAGATACATACATACACATACATACACACACAAATGAAGACTGACAAGCATTCTTATGAAGTAAGAGAAGGAAAAAAGATGAACAAAAGGAGCCGTGCGAACCTGTACGAGGGCCTCATCTGCGCCGGGAAGACCATAGCGCTTTGCAAGGCTGAGGTAAATCTGCGCTCTGTTGGGGATATGCGGAAGTCCATGCTGCATGTAAGGCGCGAGCAGTGCCATGTTGATTGTGGTGAGTGCCACGAGGCCCTTTTTATGGACGGTGATGACGCCTCCCGTTTGTGGGGAGTCGGAGGTAAGGAAGATGGGGTCTTGAGAAATACGGTGTCTCAAGAGTTGTGTGCCGGTGAGGCCGTCGAAGAGCAGCAGGAAGCCGCCTTTTGTCACCAGGAAAACGAGGCCCAGTTTCTTGCTCAGGTGTACAGACAGCGGGAAGTCGGAAGGCGCGTCTGGGGAGAGGTGGATGTCGGTGCAGACGCGGAGAGGGGGTTTGCCATCCTCCCTCTTCGGCGCGAGGTCTCTCACGTGCAGCTTGAATTCGGGCGCACTCCTTTTCTTTTCCGCGAAGCAGATGACGGGCTGGTGCCCCTGAGCCTCGTCTGTCACGATGGTACCAAAGCAGGCTGCATGCCCTTCCAGCTGTTGGTGCTTCTTCAGCTCTAGCGAATAGAGCTGCAACGACCCGTCGATCGTCTTGCCACCGTCTTGCGTGCTGATGCCCGTGAGCACACACCACTTCATGTCCTTATCGGTGGCATACCCAATGATCTGAACGCCTTCTGCCAGTCTGCCTTCCCGATCGCAAACCTTCTGCGGCTCTGTAGCCGCCTCAGCGCCCTCCCCCAGCGTCCAGTGATACACTGACTTTTCAGTAACAAGCCCAAGAACTCTTGGAGCGATCCAGCGCCAATACACGATCTGCTCAGACACGGGAGCGGTTCCCATGCGAGCCTTCGTCTCAAGATTGAGAACTTGAACCAGTTGCTGCGCTCCCTCCGCCTTAGCCCGCAGAGCCACTATCGGATCCGTTGGGTGATGCAAAGCAGCCTCTGCCTGCGTCGGCTTCTTACTAAAGGTATACGCACCCGACCCCCCAGAAGCTTCCACTGCATCTTTGGGGCTTAAAGACACGAAATACAACTCGTTGCCCTCGACATCTCGCACCACCAAATGCTTGTCACCGTCGATAGCCACATTTCCGAACCGAAAAGACGCACTCTTCACCCCGATCTCACTCAGCTGAACGAAGCCCCAGCCGCAACAGCGCACCCCACAAAAAAACGCTATGAAGACACCAAAAAACCGCTTTGCAGAGGAGGAGGAGGAGGCCCCAGTGCAGAGAGAGAGAGAACTGGCCATATCCCACTCAGTCCAAGGCAACAACAGAGGCACCCGAAGACAACACTGGAAAGTGTACACGACCGGTTAGAGGAGGGCGGCTAACAGGGGGAGGAGGGAATGAAGGCGGAGCCTAGGAAGCGATTGGTCACGCGTATGCACAAGTTTCTCAGTTTCATAGGCAACACAGACTCAGCTTCAGGCAGGTGCAGTCCCCCTCCCCCCCTCCCTGAAAGTCTAGCAAGACCACGATGGCTTACGTTGACGAGAGAAGTAAACTGTATGGGCAGATGCTGCGCCATTTTGCACGAGGGGCACGCAAATACAAAACAGGCTGACGACGATCACCTGCATCCATTCCGCGCGCATTCAAGACTGCAGAGTCCGCCTTCAAAAAGCGGCTGCATATCTGCCCCTACATCATCCCTCGTAGACTCCATGGGAGTCGGTCCCGTGGGGCCCCACAAAAAGCTAAAAGAGCAACACGCGCGACGGAGTGTCACGTAATGCACAAGATATATTGCGGCATCAACATGCAGCCTCAAAGAAGTTGTGAAATGACGCGGCCTCCCACCTGCAGCCGAGCTCTCAAGCGTGCCCCCTGTGAAGAAGCTTTCAGCGGCTTCCCCACCAACGCACCCGTCTCGGCAAAGCCTCAAGCCAGAAAACTCCGCAAACAATGCATGCCCCCTGCACGTGAAGGGTGCGTAGCGAGTGACTTTGTGTTCGGCGTTTGCAGTGGTTCCCCTGCGGTGCTCTGGGTAACCTATAGAAGGGGCCTTGGCCGCTTTACACGGAGCCTAATGAGCTCAGACGGGCTTCACAAGAGCTTAGAAGCGAGCCTGTCAGCGGCAAAACAAAGACTTACTCTGAATTTCTGTCCGTGAGGAGGCGAGCAGTCTGCAGAAGCGAAGACGGCCCCCAGGTGGCAGCTGCTGCTAAGGCTGTGACACAGACCCCTTGTCTCTAGCCCTGCGAATGACACGGGGCCCTAATGAGATCTTTTGTGCAGCCCTTTGGGGCGGTTGGTTTGTATGGCTGCGTTCGGCCGTGCTGAGAGGAAACAGCAGCCGACCGGCTCCGCTGCGCTCTGCTCGCGCTCAAGCCTCTCTGTCCCTCAGTCAGTAATCGCTGAGGCTATTTCCACAGCGAGGAGAGGCAGAAACAAAAAGGTTCGCACGCAATAGCGGAGTTATACCGGGCAAAGGGCCGGGGGGTGGCATAGCAGCCAAGACTGCGGCTGCGCAGCAGCCCTCCTCGTCCCCCCTCCTCGGCAGACAGGGACACCACATGCTCTTCACTGGTTCTTTTGCTGCCCGACAAGAAAGACAGTTGTGCTTATTATTTATTCTAAACGACATTACATGCGCTTTGTCGCGCTTTTGTCTTAGCAGGACCAAGACCTCTCGCACTCCCTCTGTCGCCGAACGCTGTTTGGCAACGGCCGCTACAAGAAAACGCTTGACAGTTGCACGTTCACTGGCTCCCACGTGCCATAAGCTCGCCAATTCCCACTGTCAATGGAGGGGTGGAGGGGCTTCTTGAGCATCTGCTTTTCTCTGGCTCCACGGGAACCCTGCCTCAGATGTGGTTGCTTTGCCGAGTGTGGCGATGGGTAGCTTACTGCCCTCATAGTACGGAAGGACTTAGGCTTTTCTGTGCTTCTGCTGGTTTCGCACATTAAAATTTTCTAACTCAGTGTGGTGCCTTTCGTGGGATTCGAACGGTGCATAATAGTTCTTGCTACGCTCATGTAGTACAGTGACGCTCCTTCCAAGACCACTTTGGGAGGGTGAACTGAACTCCAAACTACACATAAATTTAGTAGAAAGTTACCGAGTTTTCTCCGGAAGGGTTCCTAGGTTTCCCTGCCCTTTTCCTCGAAGTTCCGATGTGAGCGGAGAAGGGCAGCCGGGCCACGCATAGCTGAACCCTTACGTACCCCGAGCATTTTCAGCTAGCTGCACATAGAGTTCAACGCGCACAGATACACACACACGACTGTGTCTGCTTGTGCCGATCTAATGATACTCTCCAATGATAAGAGGTACGAATACATAGGTTGATTACTCAATTCTTCATTAATATTCCTAATTTGTTTCAATGTAGCTTGTGTAGTAGAAAGTGCGGCAGTGCAGCCTACTCCCGCCACATCTTTCTCTCCCATTCAAAACACGCGCCTCGTGTCCTACACCTGTCCGTGAAGCATAGATGTATTCCTTGTAGTGGGGGGGCAGTTCCCACACCATGCTACCCCTAGGAAGGCTAAAACGCGAAAAAAACATGTCTGAAAAGCAAAGTGGCTTTCAACCGTCAGTGAGAAGCAGAGGGCGGAACGGCACACTCAGTAGTCAACAATGAATGAAAGGCCAAACCAACACGACTGTGGGCTCGCTGTCGTCGGAACGTGAAATATATTAGCGTTCTGCTAGAAGAAAAAAAACAAGTAGAAGTGTGGCTTTGATCAAGATAAACACCAATTGAGCAGTGTTACTGCGCTCATAGAGCAATGCTTCCATGCAAATGCAGCCGGGGCTTGCAGCATCGCTGTCTCTAAAGTCCCCAAAGTGGCATAAGGTAGGGCGTAGGGATATCAAATCTGATGTACAAGAACCTGACTACAGTAGACACATTGGCAATTATAACTGAAACCGTTTGAAGCACTACTCATACAGGAGGGTAGTTGACTGAGGCAGCAAATGGTGTGAATGGACAATTCATGCATGACAAGAAAACCGTCCACTGCCGCTAACTTTGCTTATAAAACTGAGCCCCGGAATTCTGCACATGCAACACAGCCCGCAACTGCTCATATCTCAACAACGAAGGCTGTCATTATTCACCCCATTTTACCAGAAACTCTTGTCTAGTGTGTGTGTCCTCGGCGCTCAATACCTTTCAAATCCATCTCATCTACAGCTCTCTGTGGATCCTTCGCCTCCTCGTGGATTGTGCATCCGTGTCAAAGTCCACAAAAAATTGAGTACTTTTGGCTTTTTCAGGGAACAAGTATTGAATGTTCTGTTGCACCTCCAATAGTTTGAAGGAAAATAGCGCATTAAGAAGGAGTAATGATCCGTGGGAGCTCGGCAAATGGCGATAGCCTCGTGGCCACAAACTTCTTTGCCTGGCTACCTTCCCGTGTATTGCGTGAAAGCCGTCAATTCAACACAACGAAATTTCCGGACTCGAAACATGCAGCCGGCCGCCGTGTGCCAAATTCCTTTCTTGTCTCGCTTGAGCCTTGCATATACATTCACGTACACTACCAAGCTCCTCTATGAACTTTTTTGCTGTAAAAGTGTCTGCTGACCCTGCACCACCAGAGCCAGGCCCGAGCAGTAGAAAGACACCTCAGTGGGGACCAGAGCTACTGTGGAGCAACGGATACACGACGTACTACCGTATCCTAAAAACACTCAGTACAAGGAAGAATAGCAAGCCATGTAATTGGATTTGTGAAAGCACAGAATAACAAGTTTTGCAGAAGAGTGCTGTTGGCACGCTCGGTATGTCCATCTGCCTCGGGGTAGTTTAAAGTGATCATATTTTGGTCAGCGCAGGGGGGAAGGAGGAGGTCGTAGAGGCACTCCCAGAACGCACCGACAAGCTTCGGATCATTCATCGCAGTTATAAACCTGAGGAATGTGTGAAGCATTACCATGTAAATTAAGAATCATGGAGCCACTGCCTAAGCCATCACAAAGCAGCAGCAAGGAATAAAATGGGCATATTTGCTGAGTCTGTAGACAAAGACCGATGTGGTACTTTAGCCCTGGACCTCCGGCAGTTCAACAATAAAAAACCCATAGCCAGATCAGTTCAGATCCTCTCAGAAGCCAAAAGGCTTTGCAAAAGACTGAGTTTAAAAACACCGTGCGGCTTTAGCTGCTGACAATCTGGGCATGACGGTGCATGCTGTCCTGCAGCCGGACACATTCCAGGTCACCACAAGGGCCGTCAGAGCTTTTAACATGTAGTGTCAACCCAACCGTCGCCCGGAAAACACGCTCACGTGGTTTGCGCAAAACAGCACTGTGGGACAAATTCGGACGGAAAGGTCAGCGTCCTCGTTATGTTTTGAGCCACAGCAGGGTATCCTCAACATGGTAGTTGTAGGGCACAACACTACGTGCGAGTCAGGGAAGATTAAAACTCGGGAAATAAAGAGGCCAAAATGGGCGAATGTCGAACAGAGAAAGGATCAAAAGGATGAATACAAGGATTGGATTTAAGTCGGACAACGTAGCCACCGTTCATGTGGGTCTGTGCTGGTGGAAACAAAGCATGCACGACTACGGCTGAAAGCCAGTCTATCGGACTCAGAAAAGATGCAGTGTTTGGTCGTTTAATGGTCTCTACACAGCAGCCACTGGTGTTTCGGACAATGTCCGATACAGTAGTGCTTTACCCGTTTTTTACTCAGGGTTTTAGCGAAAGTAGCACAGGAGACATTAGTTCTAAAGGCGTAGGACTTGAGCAACTTCAAGAGAAACCACGAATCTTAACAGACGGGAGCAGTTGTGTCCGACAATGGCGAACTGCTGCGTCAACAAGCACACACCTCTAAAGCATCGAAGCTCTGAAGTCTTCGTGTGCCACACTGTAAAATGCCTTCCACCACTCCTTTATCGGCTCATATAAATTCCTTGTGGCTTGCCGCTGCAGCTCAGCTGGGGCACTGACCAAATCAAACGCCATACATGTATTCTACACTTGATGGTACTAGCTCAGAACGCCATTTTGTGTCTGTTACCAAGATTAGTGGGGATATTTAGGGAAGCAACTAGGCAGTCAAATGCCGAGTCGATTGGTGAACTATCTATTTTGTCGAATACTTCGCCAATATAAAGCATTGGGAATTTACGTTTCAGAGTGATTTCGTTCAGAGGCTTGAAGTTTGCCTATAAAATCCACTTTCGATTATTTCAACACCAGCAACAGCATGGGCCTATCCATTTGAACGCTGGTCGATTTCCGCATTGTCTGGTTGACACTGCCCCGGGATGCTTAGGTTCTATACCCAGATTTGTTTTTTTCAGCCGACGGCATGGGAACTGCGCTCATTTGCCCCTGAAATCTTGATTAGTCCATTCTTTTCTGAGGCTTCACTGTAACGGGTTAACTTACAGATGAACAGTGTTCTTTATACATGCTGTTTTTGATTGCCATTAGTTAGGAGTTTACTCACTGATTTGTGTTCACATATGCTTTTAGTGGAGAGTGCCGTTCGATTGGTACAAGAAGACGTGATATTGTGTCAGTGCGTGCTACGGTCTATGTGCAAATAGTTGTGAATGCTCGGGGTCTTCTAGAGAAAGCAGCAATGCGCAGACTAGTCTTCCCTCTCATTTCATGCTGGATCTTCTGAGGAGCGCGTGCAGACGAAACCGGTTTATTTTAAAAAAGCACTCGGTAACTTCCTACTTAGTTAGCATTGAGTCTGGAATCAAATGGATCCTTACGAAGGCCGTAGATGAAACGGTACAGCTACATTTTTAAAACTGTGGGAAGTTGCAGTGTGTTGGTTTAGTGAAGCTCCCTGCTCTCTTTGCAGTTAAATTACAGGGTTTTCGCTTTTGGGGAGGACGGGTGAAGGGATGAAATTAGCTGCACTGTCTGAACAGTGCGTTTTTTGGCAAACTCCGTGAAAGGTAGCTTTGCGCACAGGCAGTTGACACGCATTCTTAGAGTAGTTAGCTAACCATGCTTTGCTACAATTAGGGCATGAGAACATATTGGCTCTGTAGCCCACAATTAACTAAGTCATTAGTGAATAGAGTAGCTCTGCTATAGTAAATAAGACATGGTAACTTGGGCAGCTACGAGTTCCCAACATTTTAAAGATGTACATCCTACCCTACGAGTCACGGTAAGCGCTCTGCTGCTAGATTAGCCAGGACAAATGGTTGCCTTTACCAAAAACAGCAAAAAACCATACATCTGCCGGCGTACTGGCTCATGGGAAAGAAGGTGCACTTCACAGAGGCTTGCAGTCGCCCTCTCGGGTTCGCACGCTGCAACAAGGCTCGGAATTCAGAGTAGAGCGGTAGTCTCGGTTGTGCGCCGTAAGTCTGCTTCTTTACGCAAAGGAAAGATGTATTTTACAGATCTGGAGCTGCTTGCAAACTTTTCCCTGTAGAGCTAGAAGAGTTTGAGGGGAAGCTCGTGGCTGGGATCAGGAAGCATGCGAGGTGCTAGGGTGTCTCGTTGTGCTGCAGGCGGAACGAACGCCCCTGTGGGCGTCTTGCCTCAACCCTCATTTGAGTTCTCAAAGCCGCTTTCGTAGTATCCCGTTTGTTAATTTGCAGTGAAAGGTGCGTATTAGTTCTGGTTCACCTCACGTAGGGGAGAGAAGGAGCCTGCTGTTTGCTCTGTTTTTGTGTCGGGTCTGCGCCCTGGCGAATTAAATGCCCCGCCTTTGTTCCCTGGGCATGGACACGGTTTTATTGTTGGCAACTGCTTTCTACATTTAAAGCTGCCGTGATCGGTTGTTTAAGCATAACTTGGGAGGGTTTTTTCGACCGGTTCTTGAAGTTGCTTCCCGCGGGGGTAGCTCTTAGCGGTCTCTAAGCGGGCGTCCGTAATCCTGGAAAGCCTTTGGTGAAACTGCTTTTGGTGGCTCCACTGGACCCAGGCTGAGGGAGATGGAGAAGCTTGACGCTAACGCGAAGAAAGAGGTGGAAGCTCTTGTCGATGTTCCTCCTGATCACTTTTCTGTTAGGGGCTGCTGCCTCCCTCCGCCCGCGCAGTTCGTGCTGGTTGCAGTTCTCGGTTCTTTCCAGTTCGGTTACAGCTTTTCTGCTCTGAACACCTCCAAGGCGATTATCATTGCGGACTTCGATTGGTGCAAGGATGATCCCGATCATGTGCTGGACTGTAGCAATGGCGTTCTCTATGGCTCTCTGATAACGGGGTCTATTTTCATTGGTCTTACCATTGGGTGTCTTCTGGCCGGTCCTGTTACCCACTTTGGGCGTAGGGTGTCCTTAATGCTGACCAATCTACTTTTCCTCGTCGCGAGTGTACTCTCTGCCGCCGCTGATGGTGTCGCCTCCCTCTTCTTGGCTCGCATGTACCAGGGGATGGCTGTAGGCTTGGCAACTGTGTGTGTGCCTATGTACATCTCGGAATTTACGCCAGACAGATCCCGTGGATTCTATGGAACGCTACATCAGTTGCTCATTACCGTCGGCATTTTGGTGGCCACGCTTCTTGGTCTTGCCTTCGGCTCTCCGCCTGCAGATAACGACTTCACGTACGAAGTCACTTTCTTCCAGAAATTTTGGTGGCGTTTCATGTTGGCTTTTCCTGCACTCGTGTCGGTAGTGGCAATTTTGCTGCTGTGGCTGGTTTACACGACGGAGAGCCCCCACTTTCTCATGCATCAGGGTCGTAAGAACACGGCGACTGCACTGCTGAAGGAAATCTTGGGCAAAGAAGACGTATCCACCGAAATTCAAACTATTGATGTCTCGATGTGTCAGCAGAAAGTTCTCGAGGCAGAGAGTCTATCGCTCGGAAAAGCACTGGGCTTCCCTGTCTACCGGCATGTTTTGTTGCTAGCATTCTTTCTGTCTGCTTTCCAGCAGTTCACGGGTATCAATGTGTTGGTTGCCAATAGCAACAAGCTGTACACGTCTTTGAACATATCTGAGAACCTGGTTACGGTGCTTTCCGTCATTCTGGGTCTAGTGAATGTTCTCATGACAGTGCCAGCCATTTTCCTCATGGACAGGTTAGGCCGTCGCACGCTGCTGCTGAGTGGATGTTTTGGCCAAGCTGCCTCGACGATCGTTGCGCTAGTAGCCAACTTCATTGACAGGTCGAGCACGGCTGTCCAGTGGCTCAGTGTCGCCTGCATCTACGTGTTCATCGTCTCCTTCGCCATCGGCTATGGACCCGTTCTGTGGGTATACCTGCACGAGATTTTCCCCCCGGAAATCAAGCAAACAGGTGCATCCGTGGCCTCTGCGGTAAACGCCGTGGCAACCATCATCGTGGTGCTGCCGTCAGACTTCGTGCTGACGAGTGATCTGAGAGTCATGTTGGGAGTATGCGGAGGCACTTCCTTGATCGCGCTCATCGTGGCGTCCATCTTCATGAAGGAGACAGCAGGGCTCTCCATAGACGAATCTCCCTACTTCAAAGGGAAGAGGAGAGTTATGAGCAAGTATTTCGACGTGACTGGTCTGAACAACGTCGGCCAGCAAGTGCCCTCACTGGCCTCTGGCCACTTCTCCCCGACACAGCTAGGAGCACCACCTCCCGCAAGCACGAGCTCCAAGGCAGTAGTTCCGTAGCTCTCGATAATTGTGCAGTGACGGAGGTGTTGATGCCTTGATAAGAGTCTAGTCTTCGCCTCCCCATCGCCTCCTTATCCCGTACGTCGTCATATCTCACCACTCGTGTTTGACGCATTTTGTGCATTCAGAGGGGGGAGAGCCCGCTCAGGGTATTTGTGTGTGCCTATGCGAATGTGTGTGTGTGTCCATGTGTAATCTCTTGTTTGCGTGTTTCGCACATTTGTGTTCGTGCACGCACTCATAAAGAGCCTCCTTCTACAACCGCATTCGTTACCTTCGCATTTGCCATACAGCTGAGGAAAAGGAGGAAGCGTCTTTCTTTCCCCAGGGATAATGGCGAGGCAGGCAGGGGTAGGATGCTGGTGCCAAGGGCTGCGGTGGGAGATGTCGAGCTATACTGTTTCATGCGCTTCTCTGCAGTGAGGTGCTCGCGCGCTTCGCAGTAGACGTTGGAGTGCGTGTGCTGTGGCACTTTTAGCCCATTAGGCACTGGTTTCTGCAAACAGGCCTCAGGAACTGGTGCACGACGTGCTCATAAGGACCGCCTGCTGTGGTGCATCGGCATATGGCTGGTGTTCTTTTTGCTCCTCTCTTTACTCTAGCCAGCTTTCTCGCCGGCTAGAGTAAAGAGAGGTATTTGTAGAAGTGCCGCTGCTACTTCCCCACCATCTTTTTTTTTCTCAGCCGTGCAGCATCTTAGAGCAAATTTTTGTCGTCTAAATATGCAAACATGCACAATCTATGTGTCATTCCCTGAACGTGGTGATATTTGATCTCGCCTGACATGGAAAATACCGACCCCCATCTAGACTTATCTGCTGTGAAGTTTTCATCGACGCTATGAGGGGCGGCGGAGCGTTAGTTTCCCTGCCTTCCAGGGATACCAAACCATTTTTCTGGGTTGTACCTTTCGCACTGGTGGCTTTGAGAGCAATCCGAAGTCCGCCGTTTTAAATACTGGCTTAGCTGAAGAGAGTCGTGTGGCGGCATGCAGCTCCCGCGGAAGGGGTCGCGCGGACGTAGTATCGCATTAGGGGTTAGATACTCGCTGGACAAACTATAGGCGAATGGAGCTGGATGGAGGCGTGTCGTTTAGTTGCGGCTTGCTAAATGCGGGGATATGCATCATTACAGGGGAGAACGGGGGGGGGGGGAATGGGGTGACCGGGCTCTCTACCCGTGCATCTGGCTTAGGTGGATGCGCAGCCGGAGCGTTTGGGGCCTAAGCACGCAGCGCGAGAGGCACGCACGGGGGTGCTCATTTTAGAGTCTTTTGGAGAGGTGGATTAGATGCGCCATGCCTTGCGTCACGCAAAAATGAGTGTCTACCTGTCTGCGGAAGTTGGAGCACGGTTGATTGACAGCCATGCGCTTCGTCAGGCACCATCCTCGCCCGCATGTCTTCCTGCGCCTTCCGGAGGGTGTGGGGGCTTAGGGAAGCGGTGTAAAAATGTGTCGTCCACTGGCGTGTAGAGACCGCTAGGGATTTTTCAGGCAGCCGTCTGGCCACGTCAAAGTGGGGGGTCTTAGGCCTGTGCCTGTGAGAAGGTCTCTGCTTAGAGCCTCCAGCAGCGACGTTCCGGTACGCGCGCAACGCCATGCTAGGGAATATTCGAAGTACTGGGCACCGCTGCAGCGAACCAAAGTCCAGAGATGCAGAGAGCCCTACACGTGTGTCTGGAGGATGGGGGATGCGCATGGCGCGAAGGCGTGTTTTCTTTTTGTGGGGCGTCTTTTCGGGAGACTTCTTAACGCCGCCGTACGTGGATTGCCTGCCGTGCTCGGCACTAAAAGCGCGCTTACCTCAGGGGAGACGCATACCAGATTTGTCTGGTTACATAGTGCTTGTTCAGGACGAACGTTGCGCCACCTCGACACACAACTTTCAGCACGCCGTCCTGCAGCAGTACGGATAGCACCCCCAGCGCCATGCAGTGTTACGCCTCTGGTTCTCTGCAGGAAGGCCCCTCCTTTTGCCGGCTGTCCGTACGCAGCCTCTAGAGGGCGCCACATGCGTGTTCTGCTCAGCAGTGTTGGCTATGCAGTCTACGGCTCGCGCGTTTCTTTGGCAGCTTACGCGGCAGTCCACGTCTTCTAGACCGGCTGCTTCTTGCGCGTCCTGCAGCTGCTCCGCTAGACCCTCAAGCAGCGCGTCTGCTGCTGCCTGGTAAGAAGTATCGGCCGAAGCCACGCATTCCCCCCCCTCACTTGCCGAGGCGCTCTGGGCATTGAGCTCCGTGGATACAGAGGGGCTCTGCAGACCAGATCTCTCTGGAGGAGGCAGTTCATGGGAGTTTCTTGCCGCATTTGTCTGAGCCTCCGTGCCGTCGCAGCGCGTTGCAGCAGTTCTCCTAAAGCAGCGCTGCCCCCCAGGGGGCGTGGAAGAGGCTGCCTTGGCGAGCGACGTGAGGATCGTCGGATAGGATGACACCAAGGGCCTGCAAGCTGCTGGAAAGGCATTGGCAGACGCCGCTGGGGGAGGTGAGGGGCAGTGTGCCGCTGCAACGCGGCGAAAGGCAAGGCCAGTGAGCTGCCCTCTCATCCCCGCTCATGAATGGAGCGTCTCACACTTGTCAGGGAGTCAGCGGGTGCTTCTGTAGGGAGACAGCGCGCAGACCTAACGGGCAAACTGTCGAGGAGCAGCATCAAAGAGTAGGGGCCTCCTCCGGGGAACGCACAAGTCCTTTAAAACTCCCTACAGACGAACGACAGCCTCTTCTGCGGGAGGGGAAAGCGAGGTTCAGGGAGTGGCGCGAGTCTGTCCTCAGATGTTTCGACGGAGGTGGAAAGCTTGTTTCTGCGCAACGGGCTGCGCTGGCCAAATCAAAGGGGTGCCTCCCGCGAGCGCTCGCGAATTTGCGTGTGGGTGGGTGTCTTTGCGTAGGTACACCTGGATCAGCTTTAACTCTGGAGAACAGATGCCACGAGAAGAAGCGAAGTAATCGAAACGAGCCGTTTGAGCGACGTGGTTTCCGTGGAGGGCTGCTGCAAACAAGTGCATGTGGCGCACTCGCCTCCTGCCTGTGTGGCGGCCTGTGTAAGTATTCTGCTGCTGGAGAGGAAAGATGGGCGTATTGCTGCAATTCTCGCGCAATCTGGTTTTGGATTTTCGGATCGGGGGCCCATGTTACTTTCCGTTGCCTTCTGGAGGCCCCTCTCCCTCGTCCGTTGTTGCATGCAGCCTTGAGGGCAGAGCCTGCGCGGTCTCTCTCTCTCTCCCTCTGTATCCGTTTCTTTTCTCTAGGCCTTTTAAATGCAAATTACAAAGGGGACAGAAGATACGGAGAAGCTTTTCGGAGCCGCCGCGAAGTTCCCCAATCCACAAGGGCCCCCTCGGCGACCCCAGGGAGCTCCATCCGAGCAGCGCCGCAGACGCGGGTAGGAGGGGGGTGTCGTGGATTAGTGCTTGTCTTAAGCTCGTCGAGGCCTCTTTCCTGTGTTCTTTGCTTGCTTGCGGGGTGTCTTCTCCGCAAGCCTCGACCCGCTCACCAGCAGACACGAGGACTGCCCGCCTGTCAAGCAGCAGAGAGGCCCACGACTTCGGGCGTGGCTGTACGGAAACTTTCGATCTGCCGCTGGCTGCATGCGTATATGCGTCCTCGAAGGTGCTCCTTTGGCGTTGCTCTCGAGTGAATTGGCAGTCCTCTCCCTTGCTTCGAGAGCAGCGTTGCCGAGAAGATCTTCCCCACGCGGCGTGTGGAAGATCTTGGCGTTGTTTTTGCAAGCGTCGGCCCTTCTTCTTCTCCTCCTCCTCTGAGCGCTTCCTATTCTGACGCATCTCCCAGAGTCGGAGGCCCTTTACAGTTCCTCCCCTTTGTGGGAAAGCTGCTCGCTGCTTCGAGCCGCCACAAAGATAACCCCTTGTTGCCACCACACTGCTGCGATGGTCTGGACTGAAGACTGGGGGTCTTTCGCCCTCGCTGTGCGAGACATCTTCGCTCACAGTCCGACGACTGTAAGTTTCCATTTCCAAGGCTTGCATGTTTGGAATGCGGCCTCCCTATGCGCGCTGTATGCACATCTATGCAGAGTTGCTGCTGCTGCAAGGATCAGCAGCAGCAGCGCTATACATACATATATATATGCAGGGCTTGAAGAGCTCGTGACTGCGTCGACAACGGGAGTAGTGGATGTGTGTGGGAAATGTGTGTTCAGGCGAGGTTTTCCCTGAAGTACAGGCGGAGTGAGGCTCTCTTGAGTGCCAAAGTCGCAGACGATATTTCTGTAGGGCAAGCACAAATGCCACACCCCCAGAATTTTTCTTAGTCGTTTTCGGCATCCCTTCGCTTCCGCCCACCAAAACTAGGCCCAACCATTTGCCAGCTGGGCGTCTCCCTCTGCTTGTCACTTGCATGCAACGGTTGCTGACAAGTGCATGTTGCATTCTACGGGTCATACTGATGCTGCTGCAGTGTGTCAAGTACCGTGCGACATCGCCATCAGAGCTGCGCAGGCTAGAGCGCCTCGCTGCCGCCTTCATGTCGTGGGCATCCCAGCCAAACCCGAAACTTGGGGGTCCCCCACTCTCCCTAGAAGGCATCATTGAGGGTAAGAAGGACTTCCAAGTTTCTACTCGCCTACGCACTTATTGGAGGGGGGAAGGTTTGCATTGTATTCGAACTCCTCGCATTGTATTCGAACTCCTCGCATTGCATTCGAACTCCTCGCATTGCATTCAAACTCCTCGCATTGCATTCAAACTCTTCGCATTGTATCCAAACTCCTCGCTCTGGTAAAGCACCCGCGAGCAGCAAGGTGTCTCTGCCCAATGCTTTAGCCTAGCCTTCAGCCCTTCCTCCAGGTGCTGAAGCTGCGAAAGCTTTCACACTCAGGACGAGAGGCAGGGCTGTTGTGTGTGCTATCGCTGAGCTGCACAGTGGTGTCAACGTGGAAACACACGTCAAGCTGCTGTGTACAGGGTCGAGCGGGTCGAGGCTTGCTGCTTGTCTTTAAGAAAAAACCTCAGGGCTGACCTTGCCAAGCAACAAGGGTATGTGGAATATTTGCTTGTGCGCGCATGCTGCAGCGAATGCGGGCGCCTCGGCAGCAAAATCCGAAGGGGGCTCACGGAGACACCAGCAGCAGCGGAGATGTCCGCAACAACAGAAGCACGCGAGGTGAAGCCTAAAGGAGAGGCCTTATGAAGGTTTTCTTCCTTTGTACAGATGCTTTTGTTTTCCAGCCCTGTGGGCCCTTAGAGGCCCCTTGAATCTTTCAAAGCGTCTTGAAAGGTTCCCCACACGGGCAGCGCTTTCCAGTGCTAGCCACAGGAGGGGCGTCATAAGCCTCTCCTAGACAGACAAGAGCAAAGAAGTAACGTAGAGGCTCAGTGTATTCACCAGCAGGCAGGCGTTCTGTTGCAGCGGGTGCATAGCCGTAGGGCACGTGCTATTATACGGTGTTTTGGGGTCCACTAATACAGTGGCTCACATAGGGGCTTGGCTAGAGGCATAGCGAGCGGCTGCATAGGGGAGGGCGCAAGGCAACGTGCAGCACGACAGTCGAAACTCTGCAAATTGGCTGCTGCTGATGCTTGAGGGCAGCGTTTTGGGGGACTGTATATGGCCTGAGACAAGTGCCCCCGAGGATTCGCAACAACAGGCATACCTAGGGAGTAGAGACACGGCTTCCACAGGGGGTTTGGGGATGGCTGAAGGCCCCTGCTGGAGCCTCAATGGAGATCGGCGCTTTGACGATCGGCCAAGGGGCCCTGAAGGGAACAGGAGCAGCGAGGCCCCTCTGTGCCATAGCTCTGTCGGAGTGTCTAGCACTTCATGGCAGGGGGCAAGAAAGCTCGCCGTCGGGGGAGCACACGCGCTGCTGGTGTGGTTCATTAAACACGCAAAAGAGAGTATAAAATGCCTCGAGGCGGCAGCCACTAGCAAGCAGCATCAGTGCAGTTGGCACCACCTGTGCGCCGAGGCCGCGAAAGCCATTCAAAGGATTGTGGGGTCGTTTGCTCGCGCGGCTTCGCAGTTTGGGCTCTTTCCGACAAAGAAAGGGGCCCTTATCGGCAGGCAGGCTTGTAGGGGCTCACTGAAATTCCCGAAGGTTCTTATGGGGGCACACCTCGGGCCCAGAGTTGCGGAGGAGGGATGAGGGGGTTACGTCCTCTCGTGTGTCTGTCTATTTCCGTTTCTCTGTGCGTCTAGTGGTGTGCTTCTCTAACTGTTAACCGCTTAAGTGCGTTCTCATGTTCGCCGCTTACGGCTGCCTTCGTGTGCCGGTTCGGTGTGGCGGCTGGGAGCCAATAGCCCTTAGCCTGCTCCAGCTTTTCTACGGCCTTTGAACGGGGTGCCCTGCCTGCAGAGCTGCCCCTATCGAGGTTGCTAGACTCGAAACGAGGCTTGAAAGAGGGTGCACTTTAGTGAGCAGACATCTCAAGGGGCCCTCCTAGGAGCAAAGTATTTGATCCGAGAGCAACCCGTTCAGCGGAACGAGGAGCCCCTTATCGAGGTGCAGTGGCCCTTCATGTTTTACCGATAGGGATCTTTTAGTACCCCGGGTACTGCCACCGTAGGAGAGAGCGAATGCTTTTTTAACGCTGTCGGTAGTAGGCTCGCAGCAGGATTAGGAGGCCCCTGTCTCTCCTGGATGCGGCTGTTCGGGGGATTTGCGGTCAAGAGACTCCCCCCCTACCTGGACAGCAGCGACGGCCTGGAGGAGGTGCTCTGCTAGTTCCTCTGGAGTTAAGTGGGCAGAGGCCTCCTCAGCGGTGTAGGGTGGGGGGGAGGGGAGGGGAGCACCTTTGAGGGCTGGCGAGAAGGCGAGGTCATCTGGGAAAATCTGCAAGCGCACGCAGTTGCGGGCAAAGCACCTAAACCGGAAGTTCAATGAGACCGAGGTGAGGCTTGAGGCCAAGCACCACACAGCGTCATTATTCACACATCGGGAGGAAGCGCTCCTCCCAGGAGAGGCGAGCAAGCTACCCTTGAGACATCCAGATGACACGACGCGAGAAGTGGAGGAAAGACAGTTTCTCCGCATTTTCAGCGACAGGGAGGCACACGCAAAGCTGCACACAGAGACCATCATGGATCGTTTTTCCGGCAGCACTCGGAGATGCAGGGGCATCCCTGCGGCCACCACATCCTAAACACCCATTTTCCCACAGCGTTGATTCCACAGCCCCATAGATGCATGTGCATGCACATGCATCTAGCCTGCTTGACCTGACCTTCAAGGCCTCCTCCAAGCCCTTCTCCCGGAGAGCAGGATCGGGTTGCAAGGCTTCCCAAAGAGCTGCAAAGCCAGAACGAACTCCACGAATAATGGCACCTCGGTCAGCTTTCAGTTTTTGTGCCTCCTTTTCTGTCCCTCCCACCGCTACAGCCATTGCGTGGGCCCTTCTTTCCGAGTCGTGGGGGCCCCTCTTGAGGCCTCCTGCGGGGCCGGAGGCGGTGTAGGCCCCTGATATGAGGTGATTGATTTGATTGGTGGCTGCATTGAGGCGTAACATGTCCCTCATGTAGATTTCTCTATGGCCGCGACGGCGCATGAAGTCATACACAGGGCGGAGGTCGTGGTGTTTGCGCAGGAAGAAGCGACGTGCCATGCGCATTTCGATCTGCAGGAAACAACGGAATAGGGCGCAGCATCAAGTCGCTTTATAGAGAGCTGTATCCCCGCAGGAGGAGACCAAGGCGGCCGAAAGCAGGCAAACACGTGATGCGGTTGTGGACACGAGAAACTGAGCCAGCCTAAGGCACGGCATAAAACGAGAGGGTGTTTCCCTTGGTTTTCTTTCGTGCCCTCCCTTGCATTTCTTTCGCGCTCTCCCTTTTTAATTTCCCTTGTGACGCACTGCAGCTTCGATGCCCTTGAGCCTCGTGACGGGAGCCTTATCAGGCCGGCTGCGTAGGACCAGCACATGGGAGGCGCCTTGGGCAATGGCACTCCTATAGGGGACGGCCTCGAAGAGAAGAGCGTCGGCAAGCGGCTCCGTCACGAGAGCCTTGGGAGCTTCGGCGGAAAAGCGGGGTAAGCAAGAGGATGCGACGATTGGCAGAAATCGCGCTAGAGGCCCCCAAGAGGAAGCGTGCGGCTCGTCTTTGCTCTCTGGAGTTGCGGAGGGATGCGTCCACAGGGGCAAATGAACCACGGGGCCTGTTAGGCCTGGCAAGAGCATTGAAGCTCGTAGACACTCGCAGAGAGACGCCATGTCTTTGATGCTGCCTCCAGCGGAGTCCAGTGTGACGGGTTTGAGACTCAGCAGGCCAGACGCGATCACCTGAGCGTACAAAGCAGTTCCACAGGCGGAGCGCGAGGAGCGCGAGAAAACAGCACCCTTCACCAAGACGAGCATGCGAGAGAATACAAAAAGAACACACGTCGATTTCGGCCGAAAAAACAAATCGGCAACGAGGCTGTAAGGGCGGCATAAAGGGAAGAGGCCAAGTCTATGGAGACGGAGGCCTCTTCTTTACGCCCTCCACATGAGGCCTTCTATTGGCAGGGGGTCGACACCTTCGCGCCTCCGCGTTTTCTCACCTTGAGCGGCTGTTTGAGATCGTTTCGCTGGAACTGCGAGAAATTGAAAGGCTGCTTCTTCTGCAGCACTTCCAGAAGCAGAGCATCCAAATTCACAAGGGGTGTGCCTAGCCGGCTGCGAAAGAGGTCGAGCACATCGCCGTCCAGAAGGCACCCCAGGCCTAAAGCTCTTCCGATTCGGCGCAGATTCAGGAATCGACTGCCCAGATACGGCAGCCAGTCGGTGTACACGCAGCTGCCCTCGTAGGCGAGCTGTCGAGACACCAGAAACGCGCCAATAAGCGCACCGGCACTGCTCCCGTAAATGACATCAAAAGCATCACTAAACCCCATGTGATGCAAGGCCACAGCCATTCCTGCGCATACACAGCCCCTCATGGCACCCCCTTCAATAGCGAGTGCAAGAACGCTGCCATCCCTGAGCGCTTCGTCCTTTCCCCGAACAGACGCCTCCCCTGTAGGCTTGCATGCAGAATCCTCCGCGAAGGGGCCGCCCCCCAGCAGCCTACGGCGATACAGCAGGAGGGAAACAGGATGAACGTGCTGCTGCAGCAAGGTGGAGCACTGCTGCAGCAAACGTTTTCCCCCTTTCTCAAAGGCGCAAGGATCTTCTCTACGCCCACACAGCCACCACGTTAAGGCCGCACGCGAGGAGGCAGCACTGCCGCCACTCTCCTCGCCGTTGCTGAGAAGATGCCGCAGCAACTGCTCGAGTCTCAAGATATACACAGGATTGAACGGCGGACGGGGACCGTGCAAATCTCCACAAACTTCCATCGACCTGCACACACACAGACGCACAGGCGCACGCACAGCAGCTAATAAGAAAGGCTTCAAAAGAATGGCGCACGTATGCATTTTAGACGCGCTTCATTCCTTTTCCTCTCTCTACATATATATATATATATGTAGAGAGAGAGAGAGAGAGAGAGAGAGAGAGAGAGAGAGAGAGAGAGAGAGAGAGAGAGAGAGCGGGAGAGCACACGTCAGAACTCCAGTCACAAGAAGAAATCGTAAGCCGTCTTCTGCTTGAAAAAAAAAAAACACACTCAGACAGCGAGTACCCACTACCACTTGACCGTGCGAGTGTCGGCGTT